AAGGCTAGCGCTCTACCACTTGAGCCACAGCACCACTTCTGGTTTTTTGGTGGTTAATTGGGGATAAGAGTCTCATGGACCTTCCTGCCTGGGCTGGCTTTGAACTGCGATCTTCAGATCTCAGCCTCCTGAGTAGCTAGGATTACAGCCATGAGTCACTGGCACCTGACAAGATGTCTTAATTTCTAATAGCACATAAAGACTGGTCATCGTTCTTAAGAAAATTCATTTTTATTGAATGAAAACTGATGACTCATGCAGTAAGGCTGCAATATAGCTTTTTCTCCATAGTCAAGCCAGGATTGCATGTCAGGTCTCAGTGTAGAAAATTCATTCTTCAAAGAAAGGACCTAATTTTCCAAGTTTCCTCTCAAAATACCTCTCACCTTATTTACACTCCCATCTTTCATGTCTTTTAAGTTAACATTTGCTTCTATTATGAATTCAAGCAAGGCCTAACCTTCAATAATAAAGATTCAGATTTTTTTTTATCACATTTATAGTCATTGTCGCTCTCTCAAAATATCTTACACTAATCACGACTTGGAAATTATAACAGCTATTAACAGCTACAATATTAACAGTTATTAAACCTGATGTTATCTTTAAGTCTTCCCAGTTATAATGTTGAAATCCACAAGATATAACCGGCTATTGGAAAACTTTATGCCTAATTTCCCATTTACCAATTAGTGAGGTCTTTCTGGCAACCCAAACACTTATGTTTTCTAAGTTTGTTTCTCTCTAAGTAAATGTGGAAACAACATCTGGAAAGAAGTAACAAATCAATCCACAGTTCAGTGATACTGGGGACCGAAATAAAATTATTTTTACTTACCTGTACTGTACTTTAATTCTGTAGTCTTATTTAAAGGTATTACTAAAGAACTACATTGTATCATTCCCTATCATTTCCTAGATTTGAAAAATAAAAGTCCAATTTTTTTTTTAAAAAACAAACTTAAAAATCTTATTTTGAAAATGAAAGATAATTTTTTCTTTTTTCTTTTTTTTTTTTTTTTGGGGGGGGGGGGGTGGTTGTGGGGCCTGGAATCTGGGCCTGGGTGCTGTCCCTCAGCTCTTCAGCTGGAGGCTAGTGCTCTACCACTTGAGCCACAGTGCCACTTCCGGCTTTTTTTCTTTTTGCTTATGTGGTACTGAGGAATCGAACCCAGGGCCTCATGCATACAAGGCAAGTGCTCTACCACTGAGCCACCTTCCCAGCCCTGAGAGATAATTTTTTCTAACTCTATTCTGGAACAGAGATAAACTGATCAGTGAGGGAAAGACTTGGAAAAGTGGACTATTTTCTAGTTCTTAAGTTTGTTCTGCATAGGAAGGCCTGTAGTATTGAAAATTACTAAGTTTTTTTTTATTATTGTGAAAATACTGTACAGAGGGGTTACAATTACATGGGCAAGATAATGAGTACACTTCTTATCAAGCATTGTTGCCTCCTCCTTTGTTTCCCCTTCCTATCCCTTCCCAGCTCACTGCAATTTTGGCACCTATTAAACCCTTCTGAAAAATTAACACTGGTGGATGTTACACAGTTTATGTTTATGTTTCAGTTCTAAAGAGTTCTCCTACAAAAAAGATTTCCTATAATGGAAGAACATAAGAAAACTGACTACTGCCTAAAATAGTAAAAAGGATACAAAATAGGAGCTCAGAGTTTTCTAAGGCTAATGGTTAGCTATCCAAATTGTTAAAAACAAAAGGTGTTAGTTGAATAATGACAAGAAACATAAATAGGCCTTTTACTTTAGAAAAGAGCATTAAAATATCCATACCACAATCTATATCTTTTTTTTTTTTTAACCAGTCCTGGGGCTTGAACTTAGGGCCTGGGCACTGTCCCTGGGCTTCTTTTGCTCAAGGATAGCACTCTACCACTTGAGCCCCAGTGCCACTCCTGGCCTTTTCTGTTTAAGCAGTACTGAGGAATCAAACCCAGAGCCTCAGGCATGCTAGGCAAGCACTCTACCACTAAGCCACCTTCCCAGTCCCACAATCTGTATCTTTTGAAGAAGTTGATTAGTTTATTTTAAAATAAGAAAAAGCAGAGTATTTTACAATTTAGAAACAGGAAATTTTGGAACTAAACTAGTTTTAAATTTTCCAGTCTATCTTACAGAAGAAAGAATGAAAAATGCACTCATATGCTTTTCTAAGTCTAAATTTGCTTCCTAACAAATGCCTACTAATAATCCTTTGAAGTGTGAAATAAAGACTTATTTAAGCTGATCCATGAAATCCAACAAAATCAACCAAAACAATCTAAGAAAACATGATCTGTCTAAAAGTAGAATTTGTTAGGTAAGCAAGACTACTTTTATTGGATGTGGCAAGAAAAGAAGATATTAGTGCTAAAAATATTCTAGCAAATGGTAAAAGCACCTATAAATTAATTACTATCAGTTTTCATTATGATTGAGAAGTGTTCATTTTCACCAAGAAAAGATCTTCTAGACACTAAAGAAGTTCAACAAGAAATGAAAACTAGAATTCCCAATACAATCCCAGGCATATCACTTGGGTACCCCAAAGAATCAAGAGTCAATTTACTACAGAGATACCTGTATACACATGTTAGTTGCTGTAACATTCACAATAGCCAAATTATGGAATCAAGTCTTGGTGCTCATCAATGAATGAATGGATAAAGAAAATGTGGAATACATACACAATGGAGTTTTACTCAGACATTTCAAAGAATGACATTATGGTGTCTTCTGGAAAATGGATGGAAATGGAGAACATCATGTTAAGTTAAATAAATTAGTCCCATAGTGAAACCACTGGTATGTACAATTTAATGTGTATCAATTAAACTGCAACTAACATTGTAAGTCAAATAGAACATTGTAAATAGAATAGAATAAAAATTTCCAAAGGTATGTACTTTAACTCAGGAAGCACATTTAGACCTGCAGCACCAGCATATATATATGAGTATGCATGTATATATTGTTGGGGGTGCTGGTCCTTAGGTTTGAACCAAGGGCCCGGGCACTGTCCCTGAGATTTTGTGCTTAAGGCTAATGCTCTACCACTTGAGCCCCAATTCCACTTCTGGCTTTTTTGGTGGCTAACTAGATTACAGGCTTGAGCCACTGGAGCCCAACACCAGTATCAATATTTTTAAGAATAGAAAGCTTCAGGTCGTCTACTTTAAAAGTTTAAAGTACAATGAAGTCTTTACCAGCAACTAAGGTCCTGGTACCTAATAATCAATGAACAACTTACCACTATCATTAACAAGTGTTAGAAGCAGGTTTCCTAATTAGACTCAATGGTAAGATTTTCCAATACTACCTCTTAACTAGCTGTGTAATGTTAGGCAAGTTTCTTATTACTCTATGCCTATCCCTTGAATCTGTACTATAATAACAGTAGCATCATGAGGATCATATGCTTTTTTTTTTTTTTTTTTTTTGCTTAAACTCAGGCCTTTCATTCTCCCTGGGCATGCTTTCTCACACTTCTAGCCAAAGTTCTTGCTGGTTAATTGGAGATGAAGTCTTACAGACTTTTCTGCACAAGCTGTCTTTGAACCTTGATCCTCCAGCCTTCTGAACAGCTAAGGAATACAGGCTTGAGACACTGGCACTGGGATGAATTTTATTTTCAATAGCACTTAAAAACACTGACCACCCTTGGCAAATAGTCACTATTATCTGATCTCTCCTGGATATAAAACATTATATCCAACCATTAAGGAAAGCTATACAGAAAGAGATACTATTTCTATCTGAACACTGTGAATCAAGTAGACAGAAAAATTCATCACAAAATTTTAACTATGATAATTAGCTATCTGGTGTAATTTTTAGTCACAAGTTTATATGCCTCATGTTTCACTTTTTTCACATTTCTTTAGGAAACAAATAAGCAATTTTCACATAAAAGATAGGCTGTTTTTGGTTTTGAAAGTGCAAGATATTTTACTCAGCTTTCATCTCTCCCTAGGGTACATGGATGGATTCTTCCCAAGAGAGGATATTACTATCGCACAAACAGCCTCATACTTAGTGCCAATAAAACTGCTGTACTGGAGTCTTTTAATCTGAGTATTTCTAAAGCTCAGAACACTCTATACAACCAAACCAATAAATAAGCAGCTTTCTCTACACCAATATCATAATCATTGGAAAGACTTGTATTTGCTACTATTTTAGGCAATATCACTAAAAATTAATCTTTTATAGCCAGGATCTATTTACTTCAGAGTTCCATGGGGATGTGTTAATGAGTTAGATTTATAGATGACAATCCAATTTATACTAGAGGAACTATATGAAAAGTCATTTTTAACAAGTTATTGTTATAGGATTGGCATACACCTATATTATCTCAAGTTGTACTATTACTCTGAAATGAAAACAGAATCTGAGTTATTTATGTTTTTAAACATCTGCGGGTATGTCATTATGCCCTTAGAATATTTTAAATAGGAATTAACACCAAGTTTTAGAGAAAGCAATGTTTTCTCTTCAAGATATTGTACTCTGAATTCTTTAAATCATATTTCCTTCATAGAGGAAAGGAAAGGTCTTTCTTCTTCATTTCTCTCTCCTTTATACCTACACCTACTACACTACAAAAAAAAAAAAAAAACTTGCTATAATGTTCATAAAAAAAAAAAAAAAAGATATGATTTAAGAAGCACCAATACACTAGGTATATATCTATTCTTCCTGGCCCCCCAACCTCCTCCCCCAGTACTGGGGCTTGAACTCAGGGCTGGGCACTGTCCCTGAGCTTCTTTTGCTCAAGGATAGCACTCTACCACTTGAGCCACAGTGCTAGTTCTGGCTTCTTCTGTTTATGTAGTACTGAGGAATTGAACTTAGGGCTTCATGCCTGCTAGGCAAGCCCTATATCACGAAGCCACATTGCCAGCTATATATTTATTCTTGAAACAACTATTGTACCCTGACATTTTCCAAAGGTATGGGTAAGATAGACTTGAATGCATATTAATAAAGAATACTTACTTTTGAAGAGACCTAGTAATAGGAATCATATTCTCCTTCAACTGTAATTTGGAGAAATCATTTTCTGAAACCTATTAAAAATGCCAAAAAATAAAAATAAAAAACATTATCAAAATTCTTAAAATATCATTAATATCTATTAAGTTAAAAAAAAAACCACAGAAAACTAAAGAATTGAGTGTGAGTTACTTTCTTTTAAAAAACCAGCATAGGAACATAATTCGATATTGTGTTACGTGGCATACATCAGAAATCTGTAAGAAATTCTAAAAATATATAGGAAGAAATCCGCTGTGGATTGAAAATGAAAGGTTTCCCACCTGCTCATGTGTTGACCGCATGGTCCCTAACTGGTAAACAATTCTGGGAGGTTACAGAAAGTGTGGGAGGTGAGGCTTACCTAGAGTAACTAGGCTTAGGGCATTTCTTTTAAGGTTATATCTGGTCTCTGGTCCCTGGTCCAGTTCAACACAAAGTTAACAGCCTCTTCCTTCACATGTTCCTACCACCATGATGATGTTCTGCCTCACTAGGGTCCCTGATCAGTGGAACCAGTGACTATGAACTGATATGTCTGAAACCAAGAACCAAAATAAATCCTTCCTCCTCTAAGTAGTTTCTGTCATGTAGTTTGTTATAGCAATGAGAAAAGTAACATATTAATTACATCTCAATAAATCAAGTTTGAACTTACTTGTTTAATATCTTCTTTTCTTTCTGTAGTTTTCGTCTGACTGAAACTTTCTTGAACTGCTTGAAGATTAAATAACATTTGTTTTAAGGCTTCAACAGGACCATGATGTTTGCCACCAGAAAGGGTAGAACTCTACCATTTAAACAAATGATAAAGTTAGCCAATCCAGTGTGAGAGAAAAAGGGCTTTAGTGTGTATTTCTGTCAATATAAAATTAGTGTAAAAACCAAACAATTCACGTTAATAAAGTATTTTTTAAAAATTAAATACAACCCATCACACTTCCCTATACCACTTCTCCAGATGAAGTTACTTAGAAATAATATGCAAGTTCGGCATATTCTTCATAATTCTTGTTATTTTACAATCTATACTACATATTTATATTTACAACAAATTCACTTTTTTTTTTATACATAAGTAAGACTGGGAGTTAAACTCAAGCTTCACACTCTGGTTTGCAAGCTGGCATTCTACCACTTGAGAAATATCTCCAGCCCTTATTTAATACATTTAAAAATCATAGCTTTTAATTAAAAGATCCTCAGAGAGCAGCAGGTAATCTAACATGTTCTTATCAAGTGTCTAAATAAAACTAAGTGAGAAAGACTAAAGTCTCAAATCATAATTTCTTGCCGTAATTTAGAATGTTTTCATATAGCAGAGGTATGGAATGTTTTCTTTGCTAAGGCTCATGCGGATATTATTTATAACAGAACCGACAAGCCATATAAAAATATCAATACAGGCAGATGGGCTATGGGCAGCTGATAAGAGCAAACAAGTTGCACATGTGTCTTTCCAGTCATCCCCCAAAATGATTTTGAGGGCTTTACAGGCCCCAGGATACACATTCCCCACTACTGAAAAGAATGCTGTATTTTCACCCTTTCAGAGCTAGCTACTAAGACATGTCAATTATTACAGACCTTTTCTGTGTCCGAAGATGGCAAATGCACTTACCCAACAGATGGTCACAATCTTAAGATAATTTGTAAGACATATTTTAAAACCTCCTAACAGTCTATTATTGTTACATTTTTCAAACAAGTTGCAGTGCCCTGCAGGTATCCAAAAAGTGGCAAAAAAGCCTCTTAAGGTATCTATAACTTGACATATTTCAGCAAGAACATTATTATACACTATTTATAATCCAATTATATAGAAGTGTTGACTCAGAAAATTTTTAAAGTTAGCAGAATAGCTAATAAAAGTATTTTAAGATACTTTAAATAAGTATCTGAAAAGGACATAAGAAATAGTACAGAATGGTACAGCAATTCCTCAAAGTAAAATACAGAATTACTTTACATGACTCTGTCTTACATGTCAAAGAGAAGTGAAAGCAAGAAGTCACAGGCATTTGTACCTATATTCATATTTGTAGCAGCATTACTCACAATAGCCAAAAGAGCAACCCAAGTGTCAACATGTAAATGAATGGATAAATAAAATGGAGTACAAGCACAGAATACTATTCTAAGAAAGGAAGGAAATCTTAAATATATGCTATAACACAGATGAGCACCGGCAAAAATCAAGCAAAATAAAATAAGCTAATCACAAGACAAACACTCGGATAATATCTGGGGAAGGGAACTGTCTTTTGAGTTTCTACTTTGCTTTGTTTTAATTTTTGACACAAGGTCTTGCTATCTTCCAAGCTAGCCTGGAATTCATTCTGCCTCTGCTTCAATACAGGTGACACAATATCTGCTTTGTAATACTTCTTATATGTGGTCCTGGCATAGCAAATTCATAGTGATGAAAGTAGAAAGTATACATACACACATTTTACTTGGAGACTTTCTGTAAACTGCATATATACTTTGAGCACCCAAATTATAATTTTCATCTTTTCAAACTACTATATTGAAACACAAGCCCCAATAATCAACTGCCCTACTAGAAAATATAATTTCCTGTATAATTGCCTGGTTTGTTTTCCCAAAAGAAAAAAAAAAATGTAATTGTGGTATGTGCCCAACAGACTAAGATGGTTTAATGTTAGGAAAGAGACTGGATCAGAAAAAGAGATTGGGTCTGTTTTTGTTTTAAAATACCTAACTTGGGGCTGGGAAGTTGGCTCAGTAGTAAAGTGCTTGCCTTGCACGCATGAGGCCCTGGGTTCAATTCCTTAGCACCACATAGGCAGAAAAAAGCCAGAAGTGGTGCTGTGGCTCAAGTGGTAGGGCACTAGCCTTGAGCTGAAGACCTGAGGAAAAGCAACCAGGCCCACTGTTCAGCCCCTACGACCAACCAAAAAAAAAAACCTAACTTAAAAATTAGTAGCAGAAAGTAAAATTAAAATTTAACTTCACCCACCTGATTATCATTATTTAGAAAGTCTTCAAGAAAATCTTTAGCACTCTTTGCCTTTGAAGTTTCTTGAGGACTATCATCAGAATTAACAGGAACAGGAGATTTGCTAAACAGGATTTAAAGAATACAAAACAAGTGGGTTTTCAAAAAAAAGTAGGGCAATACAAATGTAAGGATTCCCATTTAAATACAAGTGATTCATTTTAATGTTTATAGTAATTCTGCCATCTTCTCCCTAAACTGACATCAGGAGCCAACCTATCCTTATCCCTTTACTTTTCCTTTCAATGGCTAAGAAAATACAACATAGAAGGGACTATCTATTAACTTAGGTATAGAAGAAAGTAACTATATCTGCCTTCTCCTTTGAAAAGGTAAAAATCTATGGGCTCTAGAAACAGAAAGAGTGAAAAGCATGTCTGTGATAGAAAGTCCTGAAGATTCCCTGGGTTTGGGGTAAACCTCACACATTTTACCTCACACAAAATAACTGTCTAAGAAGTAGGAGTTTCTAGACTGACAACCAGCTCAGAAAGCTATATATAAGCTATGGATTCTGAGTCTTTAACTTCCATTTCCTGTACAGAGAGCAGGAAATGTTTCTTCTTATCCCTACTTTCACTGTTATACTGAAATAAACTCTTGCCAATAAAGAAAGACCCAGGCATCAAAGGGCCTATAGCTACTCAGGAGGTTAAGATTTTGGTTCAAAGCCAGCCTGGGCAGGAATTCTGTGATTCTTATCTCCAATTTATCATAGGTTAAGCACACAAACAAAAACAATCTTAGGAACTATAACAATCTATACAATAAACTCTATTTTTAATGGACCATCATGTAAAAAAAAAAAAAACAACTGAAAGTAAAATGTAAATGAAAATAGGTAACACTAATACGATGGGATGAAGAGGATTACGTTTTAAAGAAAAATAAGAATTTCAAAACTCGTCTGCAAAGTAATTGAGTGAAGATACATAACAGTAGTGAAGCAATTAACATATAACAAGGCTAAATTTTCTATAATGTACCTGTATATGAAACATTACACCACCTTGTGGTATCAAACAAAAATTACAATTTAAACCTAGCAACACAAAGCTACAAGATATAGAAGTACAATGTTAATACAATTGCTAATGATCACTACGTTATTTTAAAATAAGTGATATTCACATGACATTTTTTTCATTTGTTAAACTAAACACTGTCACTTGCTTACAAAGTAATAGGAACATTGTCCCAGGATCTTTCTGCTTCAAGTTTATCCAATGAACAAGGACTGTTGTCCTTTTTCATAGGCGTGGGCGACTCTTCACAACACTGCTCTAGATTTCTCTTGGCCTTCAGGATAAGCAATTCAATTTTGTCACCTAATTTTAAAATTAAGGAAAAAAAGAGAAAGCAAAACAATCTCATAAAGTCAACAAGAATGTAACTTAGGATATGCATATATTAGCTAGGTCACACAAAATGGTTCAATCTATTGCAGCTAGTTGGGAGACATCCAAGGGTTTGATGAGGCCAGCCCAAGCATCTCAACCAATGTCTGGACTCAGTGGTTGTGAGTGTTATCCTAGCTAAAGGGAAAACACAAAGGTTGGGTGTAGTAACATGCACCACAAATTCAGGGAAGCTTATTGTTAAGTATGAGGATCACAGTCCAGGCCAGTCTGGGAAAAAAGTGAAACTGTACCCCAAAATAAACAAGGTAAACATCTGTAATCCTACCTACTCAGGAAGCTGAGACCTACAGGATTCCTGTTCAAAGCCAGCCCTGGCAGAAAAGTCTGTAGCCTCCATTTTAATATAACCAGCAAAAAGCCAGACTGTAAGTGTGGCTCAAGTGGTACTGCAGTAACTTGCAAAAAAAGTTGAGTTCAGGGCTCAATACTGGCAAATAAAACAAAGGAAAGAGAAGCACCAACACAAAATAGGGGCTGGTAGTATGACTCAGAACTGCTGTTAACCAAGAAGCCTTAAATTTAATCTCTACTACTGCCACAACAAAAAAGCCTTTCTATAACAGCTAACATTTTAAACTATCCCAAATATCACTAATATGAACTACTATATGAAAGAACTTAAGTATCCTAAAAAGTTAATTATTGGCATAATAATTCCATAAAACTTTTAATTATGAAGTCAAATGCGCAGCAATTCCCTTGGTTTAAAAGAAACGAAAACAAAGTATTACCACTGAATGGCTTTTCGGATTGTTCTGAGAGAAGTGGATTCTCACACTGAGCCTGGTTGGGTTCAGAATCACATTTGTATTTGTTATGTAATCCTTTAGCATCACTCAAGGAATTTGAAAAGTTTGAGGGCTCAAAAGAATATTCACAACAATCCATTTTAAGCCGAGAAGTTCTTTGTGCCTGGTAGCTATGTCTGGGAGAACACTGATCTTCTTTCAATGTTCTATAAACTTCTTGACTATCTGCATCAGGTAGCAAGTCTTGATTGTGGAGCCAGACTGGATATTTGGAATCAGGTATGCTAGTTATCCCAGAAACATTAAGGTCAGATTTCTGGCTAGTGAGCCATCTCGGATAATTCTTTTCAGGATTGTGCTCTGAACTGTCCTTAAAAGATGATTCTTTGGGAAAAGATGGCTCTGAAATTAAAGTTTTATTAGTCCTATTCAAAAATTTGGGATTTTTTGGCCTACCACATTGCTTTCCATTCACATTTGTGTTTACAACAGAACTGTCTAAGTTATTCTTGCCCGTGGGAGTGGAGGATTCTTGAAAATTTGGATTCCTTTCCAATGAACCTGGTCTTCCCATGTATTTCTTGCTTTTCTTGCTTGGTCGATGACCTGGTCTAACGTAAGTGAGAGAAAAAGATCCATCTGCTGGAAGTCTTAACAGGTCATCAGTTGTAAGGCTAACAGAGTCTACATCATTAATAGTCTCTCTTCTATAAGATAATGAATTTGAGTGCGGTTTGCGATCAGGATTTTCAAAAGCTGAAAAACAAAGCACAGTTCTAATTATCTTCTTTTATTACATGTAATATATTCAACAATGATAATTAATCATTTAAGAATACTTCTTGCAGCTTTCCCTCATTCTCATTCAAGTTTTGATGGAAGTATGAAACATGCATATTGGAAATTAAAATGTACTTCCTCTCTTACGTATCTTCAATGTTTAATTGCTATTGTCTCTATTCACATGAATTTTCTTATGTTCTAACTTCATTTTTTCAACTTTTTCCATGTAGACATGCCTGATACATGAATACAATCATGTTAATATCTGTCATTGCATACTGGTTTTAACAGAAAAATGTACTTTTAGGAAGAAAATAATTTGTTTCCTCTCACCTCACCCTGGATATGCCTACACAGAACACTGTTTTAATTCTTCTTGTAGAATATATTGTCCACGTTTTTGTAAGAGCTGAATGTAAACTTTTTCTTTTCTAGGTCCAGTCTATCATTGCTTAACAGACCATTAATCAGTTTATCTACACCTATATCTTCCAGGCTCTTTGGAAGCCTGATAAAGGACAAAACTCAATATGTTCTAATTATTGCCCCATAGAATACAGACAAAAAAGACTAATATTAGCCCTATTCCATCAATTAAAAGTTAGCAAATATAAACTCAGAAAAATTTGAATTTGCTTGAAGTCACTAAGCTAGTTAATATGAATCATCATATAAACACTCATTCTATCATGCTACAGTAAAATAAGGATGTAAGATTGGCAATCTGATATTACCTTCTCTAGCTTATGCTCAAAAATTAAGAGGATCTTAGGTAGAAAATCCTGGGAAAGGTTTAACTTATAAGATATGGCATTCTCAAATGCTTCAAATAACTGCCCATAAGAAACAAAAATTAAAGTATACCTTTGTTTGTTTTATAACTATAGTTTGAGAATCCTGACATATTAGCAGAACGTTCAATGCTAATTTTTCCAGTGCTTGCATCAGGATTTAGTTGGCTCAGATCAAAATCATCTATATAAGCCTGTAGAGCCTGAGAAGCAGAACTGTATAGCTTATTCTTATAGTGAAAAGAGCCATCAGAGTTGGAGGAATTACTGCTACCCAGACCACAGCTTGCCAGGAGAGATGATACTGAAGATTCCTGAGAATAAATTCTGTGTTTCGTGTTTGATTTTGCCATCGCTGTTTCAAAATGAGTGGTTTTTACTCATTTTTCTTAAAAATAACTGTAATATAAAAATAATAGGTTAGAGTTGCCAGTTAATAGGAGTAATGATTGTTTAGAGAAAAAAATATTAACATGTAAGATTTAAAATTTTTTTATTTAGCAATAAAGTCAGTTATCTCTAATAAATACTTCTATTTAAGTACTTAAAGTTTACTCTCGTCTTTATTACAAATTATTTCATCAATATTAGAGAAATCACTTACTAAGCATCTACTATATGCTTGTATGTATGGAAACTACTTACTTTCAAAATAAAAACGGAAATATCAAGGAAAGAACACTCACTATTTTTAAAGTCAAAAAACTTCTGGTAGACTGTCTCTTATGGACATATTCTATGACATCACAATACCTTACATTCTTCTACACATATTTTTGAAATCATAAGCTTAATCCTAGAGTTAGGCAATTAATGTTTCTAAAACCATCAAATAAGGCATCAGAAACAAGAACAATGGACATTCTCTTCTTTCAGTACTGTAATGGCTAATATCAAACTGCAGCAAACCATTTCCCCTCAGAAAAGACTGAATGCAAAATAACCTATGATAAAACAGCACAAAACTCAACAGCTACTGTAGGATCTTTTTCTAAAATAACACTGCTAATAATCACTTCCTGATCTTCAATTTTGGTACCCACCTCACCATTTTCAATTCTTCTGTTAAACAGATCTAGTTCACCTCTCTCTTAAGGGAACCAATCTGGAAATTGAGTTAATGGGCTCGGGCTCATCTTCCTGTTTTTCATTATTCAAATTGAGAGAACTCCTGTCTACATTGCTATAGTTTTAATGGGATCTATATTCAAAACAAAAAGGTGAGGCACTGATTACACAACATTCATTGAAAATTCAAGGATTTTCTATACTACAAAAGGATTAACAGGACTTAACAGGTGTCATGATGCTGGGCAATAATTTTAGAAATATTTAAGTTATTGACAACTCTGTAATGAAAACCTAGATCTGTCAAATTGTACTTTTTGTGTCACATCAAACCTTTCTCAATGAGGCATTAGGCAGTGGCTAATGGAAACAACGGGACACAAAAATGGCTACCTACATATCCTTGAATGTTGTGATACTAGTGTCTCCCTTAAGAACTGCTATATTAAGTCAGATTTGCTCCCTCTTTCTCCCTCCTACCAAAGAAGCTTAAAGTCACTCAAATAAATATGCTTGGATAAGCTTAATAGGAGCCAAACAGGTTACAAATTTTATTTTGTAAAACGAACACAAAGTCTTAAAAGGGAACGCTACCAGATATTTCTTAAGTGGATGATAATAATATTTGCTAGTTATTTTCACGTACTGACCCTCCCCCCCTAAAAAAAAAAATCTAGAATTGTGGCTGATACCCACAATCTTAGCTACTCAGGAGGCTAAGAGCTGGGGATGACTATGGGAAAGAAATGTCTGAGACACGCAGTCATCTCCAACCAACTAGCAAAACGTTGGAAGTGAAGCTGTTGGCTCCAGGGGTAGAATGGAAGAGGCTGAGGGGAAAACGCTAAGGGGCAGTTCACGCCCCAGTAGTGGCAGACACAAATTCCAAAATTTGATTTTTATCATGAAGTGGTCAAAATGTTTGCAAAAGTAGAATTGTTTGTATATTAAAACAAAAAAAAAAAAACAAAAAAACCCTTCGCACCCAACATCCTGCTCGAATAAATCACCCACATAATCTGTACCCAAAGCCCACTGCCCATCCCCCCCCCCGCCCCCACCCCCCCCCCCCCCACACACACTCGGTGGTGGTTACGGGACGATTTCGAATCCCCGGCCCAGGTCCAGCCCAGGCCAAGAACGTTACCGTTCCCGCCACAAACGCTCGGGCCCGAGCCTCCAAACGCCAATCCACCCCGCGGACCGGACCGCTCCCCGGCGAGGCCAGGACATCTCCGCTACCTGGATGGAAAAATCACAACCATGATCCGCCGCAAGGGCGCCCGGGAGCCGCGGGGGAAGTCGGCGTGGGCCGATCCGTGCAGGAGCCGAGGATGGACGCGGAGAGCCAAGCCCGCCCCGTCGGGTCCCCGCCCGCCTGCGCGCGCAGCCCCCTCACGCTCCCACCCCGCCTCCGGGTCCCACGACCCCGCCCCCCGGGGCGTCCGACGCGGGCTTCCAGGGTGGCCCCCGCCCCCCGGAAACCCAGTCCAGACGACCACCCGTAGCGAGCAGGCCCCGCCCTCGGCCCCGCCCGGCGCCCCGGGCCCCGCGGCCGAGCCCCCGGCGCCGGCGGCCGCCTTCTTCCGGGGTCCTCCGCGGCGGAAGGACGGGGCGCATCCCCCCCTCCCGCCAGGCTAAGGCCCCAGAAGGGAATTTAAAAGCACACGCTACCGCCACTCTCCGCCGACGCCCCGGGCCGCTCACAGAACTGCAGACGCGACAAAGCATCACCGAGCCGGCCACCGCCCCGCCGCTGGCAGCGCGGCCTCACAGCCGAGCGCGACGCCCGCGCTCACTTTCAAACGGACCCAACATGGCGGCGGCCCGCAGTGCGCATGCGCGGCGCCTCGCAAGCGGTGGATGGGGGGGGGGATGCTTTGAGAGAGGCTCCATGGGAGAGGGGTCAAAGGGCACGGAGGGGCGTTAGGCCGCGATCCCTGCTGGGAGGGGTGGCTTCGCGTCTTTCTGGGTTGGGAGGAGAAGGGTCTGGATTACATCCTGGTCCCACGACCACCCCCACCCCCACCGTGGGCCCAGCACCATCAGATGGGCTGACCTTCCTTAAGCCCTCCTGGGGCTGAGGACAGAGCCCGGTGGGTCAGGAGACCTTGAGGAGCTGGCAGCTGCCATTTCTGTGGTTGAGAGCCAACCCCACGGCCCAGGGCCTTCCTTCAAGTGAGTTGGGTCACTTCCTTCCCGGCGCCTTCCACCCCACCCCAGGGGGGTCCAGGCCCTAGGCCTTCCAGGCTGGGCCCCAACCACCACTTTACATCTGAGCTAGAGAAGGGTGTTGACCCAGGCATGGGATTCAACAGATTCACTGGGGACCCTGAAGAATAACAGTGAGCACGCATTCTTTTTAGGCATCCCAGAAAGAAGGAGATTATACAAATTGATAGAAAGATCCCATAACATGTATGAACCTTATCGACAAGGCTGGGATAGGATATGAGGTGAGAAGAATCCAATTTCAACCAAGTAGGCGAATCAAAAAATATATATCATCTTAATACTGGTTTGTGTTTATCTTCCACACTACGGGCGAAGATATCTTTGACCAATCCTCCATCGCAGTATGCTCCTTCTCATCCAATGTCACATCACCAGGTAATCCAGCTGTCCTCTCTTGCTTATCTGCTGTTTCTTCTTTTCAGAAGCTATCAATGCAGTGTAATAGTTGAATTAGGCACATATCAAGTATGGCAATGTTAAGTGATTTGAAAATGATAGGACACAGTCCATGCTGGAGCCGACAGCTAATGATAAATTCCCATCACGTGAAATAGGCAAATAATACTATAAAGTAGGGATGCTTAACCTAACCAGTGCCATCTTAGCATGTGGTAGATATAAGAGTATTGGGTTTTACTAGTACCATCTTGTCTATATGGTGAAGGCAGGGAAGTCCCACTTCCCATTTGATGGGCATGCCTGAATTCCTAGAGGCAGAGGCCAGGATGGGACTATAGGTTACTGGATCTGCCAGTCTTGGGTCTTGAACTCTCAAACTCCCTATGACCCTGCCCCCTGACCTGGCCCTATTTAGGCCCACACCAGCTCAAGTTTAGGTGTGCCATGACACATGTCTCCCGTCTACTTGTGTTCTGTCTCCTGGCTCTCCTCCTGTCAACATGGTGTCCCACTTCAGCTCTCCATTGGAGCTGATCTGGTTTGTTGGTCTTCTTTTTCTGCTCTTTGTTTCCTCTCCTGATTTCGTGGCTCAGTTTTCTGACAGTGTTAAGTGTATTTGTGGGTCTGCAGGTCTTTGCAACAAGTCTGCATTTGCCAGCTTTCTCAATAAACCAGCTCTCAAAATGTGGCTTCTCTGTTTACTTGCTGGGTAACAATACAAAAGAAAGACTTGTGTCTAGGATGAGCTCAGATCTGGAATCAGCCAAGGATTGTTGATGATAGGAATTTAAAATGTTAGAAGGGTTTTTTGTTGTTGATTTTTTTAGCCCACATTCCACCTAACTATCCTAACCAGTGCTACTTTCACAGTAATATTTAAAGGTTCCTCATAACTTGTATCTTTAGTTCATTGACTAGAGAGTGGTAGAGTGCTTCCCTTGGATTTCTGCCACCTCTATTGATTCTAACACTACTTTTTTTTTTTTTTGGGTCCGGTCGTGGGGCCTGAACTCTGGGCCTGGGCGCTATCCCTCAGCTCTTCAGCTCAAGGCTAGCGCTCTACCACTTGAGCCACAGCGCCACTTCCGGCTTTTTTCTTTTTGCTTATGTGGTGCTGGGGAATCGAACCCAGGGCCTCAGGCATGCAAGGCAAGTGCTCTACCACTGAGCCATCTTCCCAGCCCCCTAACACTACTTTTTTATATTAGGGTATATATGCAGTTGTTTCCCAATGAAGAAAAAAGTGTTAATTTATTGAATATGTTGACCTAATTTGTGGATCAGAGTAATTCTACTGCTGCTTTTTTCCCCACACAGGTTAACAGATATGGAGATCTCCACCAAAATTTGGCAAAGAATCCCAATGCTTACTAAAATTCTGGACTAGATATCTTAGGAAAGGTAAAGATGCAGGACTCAAATAAGAAAGAGGTTATAATGGTATACTAAAGTTTTTCTAATATTAAAGGTATCAGCCTATCCATTGTGCCTTACTGGATAACTAAACAAGAGAAAATAAATTTGTGAATGAACCTGAAGAGTTTTAAACGTGGGCTAAGAATAAAATGTTCTGATAGTTTATTGAGAGGTGTAAGGAAGCCACTGTAAATTAGAGTTTTGAAATGGTAGTTTTAAATTTGTCCATTTTAAGAAAGGATCACCTAGAATAAGACCCCTTACTATTCCAAGCCTTTTTTTTTTTTTCACCTTCATTTATTGGGGCTATATTTCTATCATTTCTTTTTTTTTTTTTTTAATTTTATTTTATTTGAGAACATACTGTACAGAGGGGTTACAATTACATGGGCAGGATAATGCATACATTTCTTACCAAGCATTGCAGCCTCCTCCTTTGTTTACCCTTCACCTCCCTTCCCAGCCTCCCCCCTCCCCCCCACCCAATCATACCCCCCCCCCACACCGACACTGTAAAGCTGGTTTTGACATGACATTTTGTACTTCTCATTGTTGCAGCAGGTCCACCTGAATCCTTATTCCAAGCCTTTTTGCATATATTAATTCAGTACTTGTAGATTCCATGTATATGTGGAAACTGAAGCTTAAAAGCTAAGTGGTTTAGTAAGTGACACCATTAGGATTTTAATCCAGCTGTTTCAATGCTCTTGGCACCATACCTGTTAGATTCTCCTAACTGCAAACTGGTTGATGGCACAAGGATCAAGGAGCCTATAGCTTCCTGAATTTATTCCCATGAGAAGCATCTTATTTTGTCTTACTTTTGTCTTGATGTAGTCCACTTGGGCTACTACAACACATTGTCCTAAACTGTGAGACTTACAAGTTTCTCTTTTTTTTGGTAGGGCTTGAACGCTGGGTTTGTGCACTATCCCTGCGCTCTTCAGCTCAAGGCAAGCCCTCTACCACTTGAGCCAAGTGCACTTCTGGTTTTCTAGTAGTTAATTGGAGATAAGAGTCTTTCCTGCCCGGGCTGGCTTTGCCGCAATCCTCAGATCTCAGCCTTCTGAGTAGCTAGGATTATAGGCGTGAGCCACCCGTGCAAGGCACTTACAAGTTTCTTTAAAAAAAAAATTATTTCTCACAGTTCTGGATGCTGTAAGTCTGATCAAGGTGACATGATTAGCTTCTGATGAGTGACTTCTGGAATGCAGACCTATGCCTTCTGTGTCCTTAGAGAATCAGAGGGGCAAATGACCCCTCTGTACCCACTTATAAAGACATCTCAGTTATGAGGTCTCTACCCCTATGACCTAATCACCTCATATCACTATCATAATGAAGGTTAGGCTATGAACTAGGGAGGACCAGTTCAAGTAGGGGTTCAGTAAATGTCTTTAAATTGAATTGATATACACTTAATTCTATCTGAAGAGATGACATTGAAGCAAAAAATATGAGTGAAAGAGAATCAGGCATACGAACCCACTGGGGAAGAATTTTTTTAAGCAAAGGGAACAAATACAAAATTACTAAGGTAGGGAGTTGGTTGGCTGTTTTTGAGGAACAACCAGTAGAAGGGATGTTTGAAGAGGAGGCCTTGGATTCAAGTTGTATAGTGCTCTAAACAATCATTTAAAAAAGATTCATTCCCTGCCAGGCACTGTGATTTAGGCCTATAATCCTAGCTTCTTGGGAGGCAAAGCTTGGGGAATCCAGGTTCAAGGTCAAGGCAGAAAGATCACAAGATTCTGTCTCAGCCAATGGCTAGAGGCAGTGGTATGTACCTGTAATCAGTGATGCAGAGAAGCACAAATAGTACACATTACACAGTGTACCAGGATTAAACAAGACCCTATCTCAAAATACATCCAAAAAGATCTGGTGGAATGACTCAAGTGGTAGAATGCTTTCAAGCCCTGAGTGTTGAAACTCCACCACAGAAAAAAAAAAGATTAAGTTCCAAGAACACATGATCAACAGATTATGATGCCTTATAAGGGAAAGGGAGCATGTTAGAAATAGTACTTATTCAGTGACTAATAATATGTGCCAGGTCTTAACAGCTCCACAGATATCCCAAGTTTACATCAAGAGGGAAATTAGAAATCAGAAATACTAAGTAACATGTCTCACACATTAAGTGGCAGAGACAGAATTTAAGCTACGTGTCACATGCCAAAGCCTCGCTTTTCCACTATACCACATTTTCTCATTTGAAAGGATGGGTAGAGAGAAAGGAACGGTTTGTTCATACATGTAATTAACAAGCATTTCTAGATGAAAGCATTGTAGAAATACTATTAAAATGTAATATAACAGTTTATTTTTTTATATGAGCTGAATATAGTATCAGCTATAGAGGTTAAAGAGGTTGAAGCAGGAGGTTTAAGACCTACCTAGGCAATGTAATGACACTGTCTCAAAAAAATGTTTATATGATTAGATTCTTATCCATCATTTACTTTTGAAACTTTACAGGTAGATGGACTACAAGGCAATTGCCCAACAAGCTAACCAAGAAGTTTTAAGTTACAACCAAGACACATCTGGCTGGAAATTGGTTAAAGCTTCAGTAAGGAAAATAAGTTAAATATGTTTCAAGGGTTTGTTTTTAATGATAATTCATAGTAAGAACTTTTTTTTCCCTGACACTGGGGTTTGAACTCAGAGTCTAGCTCTACCATTTGAATCATGCCCTTAGCCATTTTACCTTCAGTTTTTTTACCAGCTAGGTTCTTGCCTTTTTTGCCAGGGTTGGCCTTGGGCTACAGTCCTCCTATTTATGCCTCCCGAATAGCTGCGATTATAGGCATGAGCCACTACATCTGACTTGTTAATTGAGGATGGGGTCTTTCTAACTTTTTGCCTGGACTGCCCTTGAACTTTGATTCTCTATGTCCCAAGTAGCTGGGACTACAGATGTGAGCCTCTGTACCCAGCAGTCATTGTAAAGCAGCTTTTTAAAAATATTTCTTTTAGAAACCAGAAGAAAAGGTATCTTTACTTCTTTTTTGTTTTCATTTTTTTTTTCTGTATCTGACAGTTAACTTATTTCTGGATTTTTATTCCCCTTTGAGAAAAAGATAACTGTGTTCAGCAAGGCTTCTAGAAGATTCCATGGAAGTCTGTGAGTATAATTTTCCATTTACAGTCATTGTGTTAAGTTTAGTGGCATTACCATAAAGCAGCATTCATTGCTTCATATTAACTATAACAAATTATTTAATATTGATCAGGAAATAGGGGTTATGAAGTCACTGGACTAAAATATGAGGCTAAGAAAAGTTAAATGCTAATAAAATAGAAAATTTGCATGTACATAAAAATATTCCTTCTAGGCTAAGCATATAGTTTCTTGGTAGAGAACTTGCCTAGATTATCTGGGTTCTATCCCCTGGGTTCTATCTATCTATGCACATGCATGCACACACAGGTGCATACACATGTACACATACACACACACACACACCCCTCGTGAATTGTTCCCTAAGAGAAAATTTTGACTCCAAGAAATAATTACTAGAAAAGCACTTTGGTATTTTCTTGCTAATCATAGTATTTTATGGTTTTTAAAACCTTCCATCTTTCCCTTAAGCACTAAAGAGTAAGGGTTTGTTTCATTTTATTTCTCTATTAGCAACATTTAAGACTATTTTTGAGGATCCTACTACTTCAGCTATGCTAAAATGTCATTACTGCCAACAAATTCGATACCATACCCATCAAAATCCCAATGATATTCATTGCACAGATTGAGAAATCAATTTAAAAAGTCATCTGGAAGCAAAAAAAAAAAATGCCCCCCCCCCAAAAAAAAGCCCCTAGTATCTAAGCAGTCCTGAGCATACTGAAAGTATCACAGACTTTAGGCTATGCCAGAGAGCCACAGTAACAAAAGAAGCTTGGTGCTGGCACATACACTATGGAAATCAGTACTAACATTGCTCAAAAACCTAAAACTAGAACTGCCCTTTGATCAAGCTATACCGTTCCTTGGCATTTATCTGAAGACTGGAAGACAGGATACAATAAAGACGCCCGCACACCCACACTCAGTACAGCACCTCTCACAATCGTCAAATAGCTCAGAAGCCTACACCCATGAATGAAGATATACATCATTTGCAGTGAAAAGGATAGGTCTTGAAAAGAAATAATAGTGAAATAAGCCAGGTCCAGAAAGAAGGAAAATGTTTTCTTTCCTATGTGGATCTTAGATGCAGAATTCAATCTATCATCTAAACACACACAGGGGCATAAGCATATATACATAGTCAAGCTGATTATAGTATATCCAGGAGTGAAACTCCATGAAGTAATCATTAGAAGCAATTAACAATTTAACCAAATGAATATGAGGAAGCAGAAGCATGCTTTGAATGAGGGGAATGTAGTAGAGCGGAGGGAAGGTGATAAAGGTAATAGTAAATGAATACAGTCATCATCATGTGTACGTGTGAAAAGACACAAGTGGGAAACGTGACTGGTGAGGGAAGGGGCAGGTAGAAGGGTAGTATTGTGCTGGCATTTAAAATCGGGCCTTGTACTTGCTCAGCAGGATCTCTACTATGTGAGCCATGCCACCAGCATGGCTTGTGTACAGGAAAACAGTATGAATGAATATATATTTATACATGTATATATACATATGTATCATATATGTGTATATGCACATAGATCTTCACTACATATTTATTATAAGTTTATATTCCTCAGCCTGGAGTGAAAAGAAAGTGAGATTGTAATTGCATTTGGGAAATCTAGAGGATCTTAAATTTTCCAGTGCTTCCAAACCTTATGGTTTTCACATCTGTTGTACGGCTAGTGAAGATCTTCTCCCAATCTGTGGGCTTTGTATTTACCTTGCTAACTATGGTATATTTGATTTTGGTACCTTAGGTATTTTATATACACATATCTGAATTAACGGAAGGGGAACGACAAAATGATGAGACAAAGGATAAACCAATGCAACAGCAATACTCACAAGACAATATGTTAGAAATAAACTGTACAACTTGGGGGGAAATTGGGGGGGATAGGACCAATGAGAGAAAAATGAAGGAGGTAAAAAGTTTAACAAGAAATGTACTCACTACCTTATGTATGTAACTGTAACTCCTCTATACATCACCTTGACAATAAAATTAAAATTTAGATTAAAAAGGAAAAAGAACTTCATAGTTTTAAAGACTTGTAACTAATCAAAGAAACAAGAATTTTAATTTAGAAAGAGTCATTATGTGCTCTTAGACTGTAGAGTATGCTCCAATACAAGTTGCCATACCAGAGTTTGAAACTCTGGTGGTTTCAGCCTCTGAAACTACTGGTGGGAGGGTCAACGCATGTTTTAAAAACACTACATACCACATTTTCTTTTTAGAGATTGATTCTATGGCTTAGAACATTTCTAAAGAAACTGATTTATGGGGCTGGGGAGGTGGCTCAGCGGTAGAGCACTTGCCTTGCATGCCTGAGGCCCTGGGTTCGATTCCTCAGCACCACATAAGCAAAAAGAAAAAAGCCCGGAAGTGGCGCTGTGGCTCAAGTGGTAGAGTGCTAGCCTTGAGCTGAAGAGCTGAGGGACAGTGCCCAGGCCCAGAGTTCAGGCCCCACAACCGGATCCCCCCAAAAAAACAAAAGAAACTAACTTATAAAACTTAATGAACTTTTCCAGAATTTTAGGTCCAAGAACATGCTTGTAAAACACTGTACTAAGCCAGGCACTGGTGGCTCACATCTGTAATCCTAGCTACTCAGGAGGCTGAGATCTGAGCATCAAGGTTCAAAGCCAGCCTGGGCAGGAAAGTCCGTGAGACTCTTATCTCCAATAAACCACCAGAAAACTGGAAGAGGTGCTATGGCTCAAGTGATAGAGCTCTCACCTTGAGCTGAAAAGCTCAGGGACAGCACCCAGACCCAGAGTTTAAGCCCCACAACAAACAAAAAAAAACTGTCCTAGAGAACGGGTAATGGATCTCAGATTTGGATTCTGCTAGAAGCTGCATGTGGCCTGACTTGTGTAGAGCAATCTGTTGGGTTTTCATCAGGTCCTGCTGCTGTTCTGGCGCAGCCACTCTTATCTCCCGCTGGATTAGTTGGGTACCTCCTAATTATCTCCCTTTCTCAGCTACATGCCATCCTTTTTCTTCACACCATTATTGAAGTTGATTTTTAGAGTAAAACTCAGATTGTGTTGCTCCCCTACCTAAAATCTTCTATAGGCCTCCTGTTGCATCTAAAATAAAATCCAAACATTTCTATCAGTTTTTGAAAGTCACTGTCTAAGCCTGCCTACCTCTCCAACCTCATTTCCTACCATTTCATACATGTTCTTCTGTGCTACAGCCAAAACAGACTCATGTTGCTTGAATGAACCTAACTTAATCTCACAAAGCCCTTAGAGTTGCTCTTCTCTTCTTGAAATGCTCTTCCTTAAAAGGCCAGAGTCATTTTTGTTGTCAGGGATTCCGCCTCACTGTCTCCTTTTCAGAGTGACCTTCCTGGCCACCTAGCCAAAATTCTCATGTACTGTGTAAACTCAGCCATTTACCATACAATTCATAATTTTCATAGCAGTTATCACTATATGTAACTTTCCTTGTTTGTTTGTTTGTTTTTCCGGTCCTGGGGCTTGAACTCGGGGCCTGGGCACTGTCCCTCAGCTCTTTAGCTCAAGGCTAGCACTCTACCACTTGAGCCACAGTACCACTTCTGGTTTTCTGAGTGGTTTATTGGAGATAAGAGACTCACCGTCTTTCGTGCACAGGCTGGGTTTGAACCGAGATCCTCAGATCTCAGCCTCCTAAGTAGCTAGGATTACAGGCATGAGCCACCAGTGCCCGGCTTCCTTGTTGGCTTCATATTTATCTTTTGTCACCCTTATCATACACTGATGAGAATATAACTTGAATTGGAACCAGGCTAGAAATAAATTGCACTTGTTCAAGGCAGTATGCCTAGCACCAGAGCTGCACTTGCTAGACGGACACATAAATATTTTATTGAATGAGTATATCAACTTTAGTTATATTGACTATTGAATGGAAAGTTAAATAATTTTATTTATTTATTTATATTTTTTGGGTCTGGTTGTGGGGCCTGAACTCTGGGCCTGGGCACTGTCCCTCAGCTCTTCAGCTCAAGGCTAGCGCTCTACCACTTGAGCCACAGCGCCACTTCTGGCTTTTTTCTTTTTGCTTATGTGGTACTGAGGAATCGAACCCAGGGCCTAATGCATGCAAGGCAAGTGCTCTACCACTGAGCCACCTTCCCAGCCCCGGAAAGTTAAATAATTTTAAAGTGCAATGCAAAAAATAAATCAACTTTTTTTTTTTTTTTGGTCAGTTGTGGGGCTTGAACTCGGCCTGAGTACTATCCCTGAGCATTTCAGGTCAAGGCTAGCACTCTACCTGTAATTTGAGCCACAGTGCCACTTCTGGTTTTCTGGTGCTTAATTGGAGATAAGAATGACAGACTTTCCTGCCCTGGCTGACTTTGAACTGTGATCCTCATATCTCAGCCTCCTGAGTAACTAGGATTATAGGCGCCAGCCACCGGTGCCTGGCTTAGTCAACATATTTTGTCAACATTTATACCTTAAATAATTTACCACCCCCAAATCACATTTTGCAGTTAACTTTGATCACATGGTGCTATGCATGACAAGAAGGCCAGTTCTTTGGTTGGAGTGACTTCCCCTTTTACCTGTCACACAGGTTGTCATACGCATTTCCCTAAATACTAGAAGCAGTTTGAAGCATGTATTAATTACCCTTTCTTTATACTAGGAATTATGCTAAATATTTTATGTATGTTTAAATTTATGCTTCCTATATCCTGCAGTGTAAACCCTCTTGTTAATCCCCATCTTACAAAGTGAATAAAGACCTACACCTGTGACTTCCCAAGGCACTTCACTCATAAGTGTTGGTGAGACAAAGCTGTCAGGACTTTGCTTTAGAAGCTGGCTGTGTTTTCTTAATCACAAGGACTATTTGGACAAAGCAGTGTATTTTCTACCTTTTATGCATTCATGATTGTCATGTCATTTACTTTTCCTTTACCATACTGCTTATTATAACCATTATTACCCTTATTTATAACAAGCTGTCTTAAAGCATTTAGATTTAAATGAAACTTTAAAAAGCAAGAAAAGTAATGACTAAAGTTGCTGTAACCAAAATGAAGGATTCATTCTACTTTACTGTCTCTCTGTACCTTGAGTCCAGAACTACTTCTTGACTCCTATAATAATACAGATATAGTTAGTAAGATAATTTGAAAAGTGTTGTGTAAACACTTTTTAAAGAAGTTGTGCTACCCTACTACTTTATAAGGTACTACTTTATAAAGCGCTACTTAACAAGTAGTGCTATCATACTACTTTATTTAAAAAAAAAACTAATGGAATGAGCCAGGCGCTGGTGGTTCATGCCTGTAATCCTAGCAACTCAGGAGGCTGAGATCTGATGATCGCGGTTCAAAGCCAGCCCGGCATGAAAGTCCATGAGACTCTTATCTCCAATAAACCACTCAGGTAGAATGCTCAACTTGAGCTGACTTGCTGAGGGACAATGCCCAAGCCCAGAGTTCAAGCCCTACAATTGACAAAATAAAAACTTATGGAATGAAATGTCTTATTATTTAGTGGTAGATTTTAAGCCCTCTTTCAAAAAATAGAAGTCAGCATTTAGTCTAGATAATTTTTGCATACTTCTATATTTCACAAATAAAAAAATCAGCAGCAGCAGCAGCTGCATTTCAGTATTGTGCATGCCTGATACTGTTGTAAACAGTATTTTGCGGTCTATAAAAGTCTTTCAAATCTTCCAAAAAGAGCTTCACACAATATTAATATTGTCCTTTACAATTCAATACTGTTGTGCTGTCTAGTGCTTTGATGTTTACCATTTTTGTCAAATGTTTTAAATCTAAATCTGCCTATCTGCCAGGCTGATATACATATGATAAAAATCGTGTGCCCTTAGAAGTGTACTTACAATATACAGTTAATGTTCAATCACTCAAACATAAAAGGACACTACTAAATTTTCAGTCTTCTGCCTCGGCTATCCAAGTGCTAGTCAGTATCAGTAATGATATTTAAGGAATAACGTTTATGAAAGATACCTAATTATAGAAATGCAGCAAGTTCACAGACTTCTTAACCCTCATATTTAAAACCTTAGAGAACCAATAAAGAACAATGATTTATAATGTCCAAACAATTCTTTCATGCCTGACTTCTTTTTTAAAGAACCTGATCATTGGGCTGGGAAGTTGGCTCAGTGGTAGAGTGCTTACCTTGCATGCCTGAGGGCCTGGGTTCAATTCCTCAGCACCACATAAGCAAAAAGAAAAAAGCTGGAAGTGGCGCTGTGGCTCAAGTGGTAGAGCACTAGCCTTGAGCTGAAGAGCTGAAGGACAGTGCTCAGGCCCAGAGTTCAGGCCCCATGACCGGACCCAAAAAAAAAAAAAAAAAGAACCTGATCATTATTCAAGTTGGTTTTTCAGTCTTATACCAAATTTAGTAATAAGCTCTTTAAACTTTGGTTTATCTGAAAGTATGAAACTTTACATTAAGGAGTTTAAAGAAAAGCAGCACTTTTAGGAAGACAGCTATTGAAATATTATAAAATCTGTATAGAAAAGAATTTTTAAATAAATGATTGCAGTGAATATTTAAGTATTTGTTGTTACTTCTCAATAAAAATCAGTGTGTTGAATTTACTGATTAAAGGTTGAGCACCATAATTCAAGGCTAGAATCCACAATGAATCCAAATGCTGAAACTATTTGAGCACCAACACGATCCCCAAGTAGGACTTCAACATCATGAAAACTTAATGCATAAAATTACTTTTAAAATTATATAAAAATTGATATAAAGATATAGATATCTCTGTCTACATAGGTGTAGATATAGAGATAGATGAATGCATAGTTCCATATGGAACCTAAATGCATATTGTTTAGACTTGAGTCCTATCTCCAAGATCACTTATTATGCATATGCAAATGTACACACAAGCATATTTGACATACACACACTCCAAAAATCTAAAACATCCCTACTCCCAAGCCTCTCAGACAAGGAATACTCTATATTACCTTCCAATTTTCTTCACTATAATTTGATAAATTAACCTAACCTTAATTTTAATAGTGGTATACTTTTAATTTTAAACTAAAGTTTTGAATTTCCTTTGCCTAATTATAGATACCGTGTTGAAGGGGTAATTCCAGAACCAACAAATAAACTATCTGATTTCCTCTACCAACCTGGAAACAGAGTTAAATGGGATAAATCTTTGCAAGTGCACAGCATGGTACACAGGATTGATTCGGTAATTTGCCATTTAATACTACAATATTACTGTATTAATAGAGTTTTACATCTTGGCAAAAGCATGTGTGTATACACATTGTCTTTTATAGACTTAAACTTAGTTGAAGTTTATTATTGTTTGCTGGCTGAGGCCTTTGCATCCTGGGCAAACAGTCTGCCACCGAGCAGTATCCCCAGTCCTTTTTAAATGCTTCTTTATTTTATTTTTATTTTTTATTCTTATTATAAAAGTGATGTACAGGGGGGATACAGTTACATAAGTCAGATAAAAATCACATTCAAACCCTTTTCTTAAATTTTATTTTGAGACAGCTTCTCATTAAGTTGTCCAAACTGGCCTCACATTTGCAATCTTCTTGCTTCAGTTTTGCAAATGCTGGGATTATAAATTTGTATAACTATGCCCTGCTGAAATTTTTATAAAAGTCTTGAAAGTCCACTCTTATTAGTCAAGAGTTTAATTTCAATTGGCTTTATTTGGTGTGTAAATAACATACCATGTTCTTAATCTGACATACGACTTTTGTTATTGGGAAGCTGAATTTAGGGATCACCTCCATTGCATGGAAAACAAATTGAGCATGCCTTGTCAAGGCTTTTTGAGAGGGGAAAGGAACAGGAAGGGAGAAGGGAGGTAAAGGTCTGTATGTAGCCCAGACCAGCCTTGAAATTCTCCTCCTCTAGTGCTAGGATTTCAGAGGCTGTGGCCTGGGTATTTGCTCATAATACATTAGAAAACAGCTATCATGTAGACAGCTATCATGTAGACACATGCCATAATGGCTTAAGAGTAAACAGCAGGTAGTTTTAAAGATTATGGATAAAGTATAAAATAAACAACATTATATAAAAGGTGTAGTTTATGAACATTTTCAAATGGATTATCTCAGTTAAATAGAAATGAAAATGTAGAAGTAAAACAATGAGAAAAGAAAAATATAAGCAATCAGTAGAAACTCGAAGACCAGTGAAAGAAAGAGAGAATGGGAGAAGCAAATAAAAAGAAATAGAAGAAAAGATCAATAGAAAGTGAAGATAAATCAAAAAGCTCCAGAGGAGAAAAAGAATGAGTGAAATTGAGAAAGAATGATACATGTAAAGAGTGATAGGGATTCTGAACAGCACAGCGCCATTATAGACCTCTCATTCATTAAGACTGCTATTTTTTTTTTTTTTTTTTTTTTGTCGGTCGTGGGGCTTGAACTCTGGGCCTGGGCGTTGTCCCTCAGCTCTTCAACTCAAGGCGAGCGCTCTACCACTTGAGCTACAGCGCCACTTAAGACTGCTATTTTTAAAAATAAAAATACCTGGAGTCAGGCACAGGTGGGTCACAGCTGTAATCCCAGCTGCTCAGGAGGCTGAGAGCTAAGGATTGTGGTTCAAAGCTAGACCAGGCAAGAAAGTCGTTAAGACTCATCTCCAACTAACCATCAAAATCCCAGAAGTAGAACTATGATGCAACTGGTAGAACACAAGCCTCAAGCACCAAAGCTCAGGGCCATTTTTAAGCATGCACACGCACGTGCACGCACACATGCACACACACACACACAAAGGACCTGGAAAGGAAAAGGATTATTTTATATTGTAATATTGTACACATATGAAAATGTCAAAGTGAAACCCTCTTGTGCAATTAATTGATTTTATCACATGTAGGTCATTTAGTAAGCTGTTTTAAAAGTAAGTCCTCTTAGCCAAGAGTTGGAAGCTTATGCCTTTCATCCTAACTACTCAGGAGGTTGAAATCTGGAGGTCTGTGATTCCAGAGCAGCCTAGGCAGAAAAGTTCACTAGACACTGTTTTCAAAATAACCAACAAAGGCACAGGGCATCTTGCCTGGTCAAGTGGTAGAGTGCCAGCCTAGCAAGCACAGAGCTCCCGAGTTCAAACTTCAGAATTATCAAAAATAAAAATAGGTCTTCTTTGGAGGGTGATGAGGCAGGAAGGTGTATGTATTGAGACCCTGTTCCAAACCAGAAAAAAAAAAAAAAAGTCCTAGGATTGGGAATGTTCAGTGACAGAGCACTTGCCTAGCAAGCACAAGTTGATGCCATAAATAAATGAATAGTCCTGGATTTTGAACTGATAATAACTTTATTAGAATGAGGCAGAAAATGAGAATGAAAGAGTAAGGCTCTTTAAAATAATTTTATAAATTACTGCATTTTAAATAAAATAGGCGGGCTGGGAAGGTGGCTCAGTGGTAGAGCGCTTGCCTTGTATGCCTGAGGCCCTGGGTTCGATTCCTCAGCACTACATAAGCAAAAAGAAAAAAGCTGGATGTGGCACTGTGGCTCAAGTGGTAGAATGCTAGCCTTGAGCTGAAGAGCTGAGGGACAGCACCCAGGCCCAGAGTTCAGGTCCCACAACTGGACCCAAAAAAAACAAAAAATAAAATAGGCTATTGCTTGAGTGTTTGGGGTTTTTAAGTCTTTGACCTTCATTCAGCTCATCAAAACAAGCAAAAATAAATGGTCCACATGCATGTCTGTCACTTTATTATTTGTGTGGCATGTTACAATTTTACCTACTGTCACTAAAGTGAGCTGAAAAACCCAGAAGGAGAGAGAGGTGGTAGGATGGCCAAGAAAACCCTTGTAGAAAGGTCCAGAAGTTCCAAAAGCACATATCCATGAACTTTTTTAGATTTTAACATTCAGCTTGAGAAATATTGTCCACCACACATGAAAGTTTTTCATTAAACATCGCACAAAAGTAATCATACCATTATTCTGTGGTTCAAGTATCTGCTATGTCCACAAGTCATTTATAATGAGAAGAATACAACATTTGTAAACAAGTTACATGTCTTTCCCAAGGGTACTGCAGCTAGCATGTGATTTAACCAGGATTTGTACACGGTTTCCTGATTTCAAATTCCAAATCTACGCTCTTCCCTGTCAGTTTCATAGTATCTCTACTGTAAGAAAAAGCACTTCACCTTATTATTAATACGTATAGCTTTTATTTTCCAGGAGTAGATTTTAATTCCCTCTTGTTCATTACATGAGTGAGGGAGGGATTTCCACTGTAGATTTATAGGGATAGCCTAATACTAACAATGGACAAATGAGACACACAGTGGTCTATTAATCTTTAATCACAGACCAGGGGAAGAGGACACACAATGGCATATAGGACAAGATATAGGAACAGATGAATCAGGATGTGGGATGCAGATTTTGTAGTACCAAGAGTGTGAAGTGAGGTTAGGTGAGCCCATGTACTGTTAGAAGATGTGATGGAAAAATTGAATAATTCTATAGGCCAGCAGGAAATTAAAATCTCCTGAATATATATAAGTAGTAACTACTGCTCCTTTTGTTAAGTAGAGCTACTCTGTTCCTGCAGAGTAAAAGAGTAAAACCACTCATGACTCTGTCAAATGGTTTAGTCTGCTAAGCTTCATTTTCACTATTTACAAATTGAAAAAGTAAATGAGTATAAGATTATTCCCAGAGTTTTCTATATTCCTGGTTGTAACTCCAATGTTCATTTAATACTGAGCATAAAAGCTTATTTGGTGATGTGGTTTTAAAACATCAAAGCTGGGCTAGGAAGGTGGCTCAGTGGTAGAGTGCTTGCCTTGCATGCATGAGGTCCTGGGTTCAATTCCTCAGCATCACATAAGCAGAAAAAGCCAGAAGTAGTGCTGTGGCTCAAGTAGTAGAGCGCTAGCCTTGAGCTGAAGAGCTGAGTGACAGCACCTAGGCCCAAGAGTTCAGGCCCTATGAATACAAAAAAAAAAAAAGTCAAAGATTTAAAATCATATGCCTCCTCCAAATACAGGCCAGTCTTGTGCAATGAAATTCCTTGGGGGAAACAATACATTAAATAATTTTTGCAATCTTTATGGTTTGATTTGTTGCAGGAAACATTTATATGTCATACCATTACACAAAGTTTTGCCTTGGGCTCAATTTCCCCCCGAGACTTTATCGACTTAATACACATCAAGCACTATGATGGGAATGTGGACATTATCAGTTGTAAGTTGAAACATTTTGCCCGCGTTTAAGAAATACTATGAGTCAATAAAAGTTTTCCCTTCAATAGCTTGGAAGAAGCTGTAATTTTTTTCCTTTATGTTTTTATTGTATGTAGCCATGTTGACATGATAGATATTTTATCAGGTAAGGAGGTATCATCTGTATATTTAGTGATTGTTCATCTAGATTTTTTTGCAGCATGAACCCTAAAAAATACAGATAGATGTTTATAGGCTAAAACCTCAAGGTATACATTTCTTGTAATCTGAATAAACAACATTCATTTGAGGATATACATTGTTTAGAATGGGTATACAGAGTAACTGATAAAACTCTTGAAGAAATTCCCTCTAGATAGGCCTTTCCATACATGTGCTTTTATTTCTTTTAGAAACTGTAAAGTTCTGATACATTCCTAGTATCTCTTTGTAATTGTTTTACTCAACTCAAACCTAACACTTTGCTAGGTTGCATTATTAACTTAAATATGTCATTTTTTATTCAGATCTTTTGGCTCTGGTGTAAGAAAACACATCATAAAAGGAATTTGACTTACTCTTACCATGCATATCTTCATATTTTCTGTCCTGTAAACTTCTTAGGTATAGGGATAATCAAGTTGTGTTATTTCCCAACTAGTTTTCAGTGACTCTGACATGACCCAAGTATTTTAAGTTTCAGAGTCTAGATTGAGTTGGTTCTCTTACTCTGTTTTGTAGAGATCACCAAGAGCTGAAGTTCATAATGTGTATATATATATTTGTGTCACTTTAGAAATGAAAGCACATAAAATGTATTACTGTCCAATACAAAATGCTGCCTTGTCTGAATCAGATCTAGAGTTTTCCATATTTTGGAAGCAAACCATTTCTACTCTACATTAGTAGCCAGAAGGAAACTAAAATGGAAGCAGAGATTAGGATCAACCAATAGAGGTAATTAGTCATCCAGTGCACAAATCACTACTCAATTTGTTGTAAGAAGTTTCCCTTGACTAAATTCTCCATAAATACTCATAGTTTTCCTCTCAGTGTCTTATAAACTTACTCTACAACATACATTGGTCTAAATATTTCGCATTTTGTGTATGCATTATCTCACTAATGAAGAAACAAAAATCCATAGAAATTAAGGAGTGAACAAATTAAATTGTATAGCTAATGCTTAACCAGAATTTAAAACTCTGTAGTCATTCTGATTTTCAATATAAGTGCTACTGTACTGCTCTATGCTTCACAAAAACCCATGCCTTTGGACTACACAATTTTTTTTAAAGAAATGTAAGTACAACCTCCATATTTTAAAAGGAGAAAAATATTTTAACATTGCTTCTGTTATATACCATTATGCCAACAAAACTGGCTCTGTTAAGATAACAACTGGAAATTTCATTCAACTACATTTGTCTTCTGAGCTAGAATTTCCATTGTGTTTTCCATCTAGCTGATTGCTTATGTTAAAATAAATAGGAAAATCCATCTACTTTGACAAGAGCAGGATGTCCTTATACAAAATAAACAATCTTAAAAGTATTTTTAGAAAGAATATGTGCAGTTGCCATAAATGTAATCATAATTAAATCACTTCCCTTTGCATTTACATGGAATATAGATATGCTGCATAATTATTACAATAAGTTCTACTGAGTTCTAATTACACTTTGTATTTTAACTCCATGGAATTAGTAGGGTTTGACATTTGAAACTAACCTTTTCAATTACATTATATAAGCAAAAGATTAATTTAAAAAAAAATCAGTAAATCCATGACCCTAATAGAATTTTTCTCTATGATTTGTTCTTTTGCTTCAAATCTGAGAAAGTAATTAAATGATACTATTTTTCTGATATAAAAGGCAATAGCATCTTGGGCTGGGAAGGTGGCTCAGTGGTAGAGCGCATGCCTTGCATGCCTGAGGCCCTGGGTTCAATTCCTCAGCACCACATAAGCAAAAAGAAAAAAGCCGGAAGTGGCGCTGTGGCTCAAGTGGTAGAGCGCTAGCCTTGAGCAGAAGAGCTGAGGGACAGTGCCCAGGCCCAGAGTTCAGGCCCCATGACCGGACCAAAAAAAAAAAAAAGGCAATAGCATCTTTAGAAATACTAGTACATATAAATATAAATGTTTATAAAACTAATGTTTTTAATGCCAATAACTATGCTATATCATACTTTTTAAAAATATGCTTATGGGACTAGGGATTTCCATATTTAGTTTTCATTTAAATTTTTCCACCACTCTAGCTAATAGTGTGGATTTTCCAGATTATCCTCCATCTTCAAATTATATCCGTGGTTTCAATCATCCATGTGGCTATGTGTGTTCACCTCTGAAAGAGTAAGTGTTATTTGCATTTATTTATTTAAAGATGAACCGTGGTAATTAACTCAGTAATATAATTTTTTATATAAAAGGACAAAACTGTATTATATATGCATATATGGGGGATATACATAATTTTAAAAGTCAAGAAAGTGATAAAAAAGATAAAGGTACTTAAAATTCAGGATTTTAAGGAATAGTCTAATACTTTTGTTACACTTAACTTTATATTAATTTATAGCAATAATACTTAATAATTTGGTTAAAATTTTTCTTTAAAAGGATGTGACTACAAGTCACTGACTTAGTTTTTCCCTTAATTAACTATTTTATTATAAGCACTATGGAACATATCAACATAAACTGGTAAATTCGTTGGATAAATCTAAAGATTCTGTATTTCTTTACACTTCTTTTGTCTACAGAAACCCAGCATATTCAAAACTAGTGATGTATGTGCAAACAGAAATGAGAGGAAAATTAACCCCATCAATAATCGAAAGAACTATGCCTTCCAACTTAGTAAGCTTTGTTCTCAATGCAAAGGATGGAATAAAATCATACAGACCTTCATCAGCCCATGAACATTACAATAGTCATTCATCATTCCAGAGGAAGAAAGGTCGTTCTTCCATTAAATCATAAAGATTTCAGACCATGCAAACCGCTTCTAAGTCTGTGTGCACAAATACTGTTAACTATTCTAAACCGTATTCTTGTACAAATTACTGGCAACACCTTGTGAAACTGAACTTCAATGTTGTACAAGAGAACAGCATTAAATATAATTTTTAATCTCCCATAATGATGTTAAATAATAAGTGTTATTAATGCATTTTTATCTTTTAGGCTTTCCCCACAAAATTTTCTACATAATTTCATAAGAAAGCAAATTCAATCAGAGGCCAGCATTAATTAAAAATTAGAATTTGGGGCCAAGTGTATTGGTGCAGAACTAAATGCCAGCACTCACGTGGCTGAGGCAGGAGGATCACAGGTTTGAAGTAAGCATGGTCTACATAGTTTGAGGCTAGCCTGACGATCTCAAAAAAAGCTAGCTTTTCCTTCACTTACTGCTTACTTTGAAAATGGTAGGAAACATGAACATTTAAATTAAAAAGAAACACAAAAGAGATAGGGAGAGAGCTCAGTGGTAGATCAGTAGATCCATAGATCAGTTGCCTACAATTAACAAGGCTCTAGGTTCCAGATTCAGCAAAAGAAAATAATAATCATTCTACTATAAAACATGAGCATTAACATTTAGATCTGAGCCTCCATTCCTACCTAGGTACCAAAAAGATAAGACAAAGGGGTAAGATGTTTACATAGTATCACACTTGTATTTCTCTTCTCTGATGTCATCCTGGCCCACTGGAAGCTTAAGCTGTCAATGGGGTATCAATTTACCTGTCTAGCAGATATACAAGTTAATTGTTGGGGAGGTATCAGTAAGGCCAAAGAGCAAGCTGAACTGCCGCCTCACCTGCCTGCAGTGAGTGGCAGCAAAGGCTCTGCTTTGAACCCACCTGGCCTTTACACTCCAGCAAGCAGCGAGCCACTCTGCTAAAAAGGACAATTCAATGGCATCCACAGTCCTTTAGGAAGGAAAAAGATACTCAAATGGTAAAAATATGTTAACCTCATAAGCATAACAAGTCATATTTGATCTTGTCAGAGGCTCAACGACAATTCAATGAAGCAAATTGTGTCAGTGTGCTAAAGTGATCCAGAGGTAGTCTTACACCATATGTAACAAGTCAAAATGAAACTTGAGTATAAATGCAAAGCTTTTAGTAGAAAGTCAAAACCTTCATCTACACAGAGTTCTTTTTTTTGGTCAGTCATGGGGCTTGAACTCTGGGTTTGGGCGCTGTCCCTGTACTCTTTAGCTCAAGGTGAGTGCTCTACTGCTTGAGCCACAGCACCACTTCTGGTGTCTCAGGGACTTTACTTGACCAGGCTGGCTTTGAACCGCAATCCTCAGATCTCAGCCTCTTGAGTAGCTAGGATTACAGGCGGGAGCCACTGACACCCAGCTTAGACAGAGTTCTTAAACATGACACCAACAACAGGATTCTTTAAAAGAATGATAAAATGTATGCTATGGAAAAGTTCCTATAAAGAGGATGAAAATGCAAGTGGTAGACAAGAAGAAAATAACTGCAAAACATTTCTGAGAAAGGGCTTGAATCAAAAATATATAAAGTATTTTCAAAATCTAACAATATAAAAACTGTCTGGTTAGAAAAGCTAGGGACATTTCATCGAATAAGATATATGTTACATAAGCTCAGGAGCAAATGTTCAACATCTTTGGCCAGTAGGTAAATACAAATACAAATTAGGAGATATCAATGCCCTTATCAGAATGGCTATTTATTTTAGTTTATTTTATTTTTGCCAGTTCTGGGGCTTGAACTCAGGGCCTGGGCACTGTCCCTCGGCTTTTTGCTCAAGGCTAGCACTCTACCACTTGAGCCACAGCACCACTTCTGGCTTTTTTCTTTGTACATTGTGCTGGGGAATTGAACCCAGGGCTTTATGCATGCTAGGCAAGCACTCTACCACTAAGCCACATTCCCTGCTATTTTTTTTTAATGGTAACATTAAATATTGGCTAAAGAGAAAACTGGGTCATCTGTATTCAGGTAGGAGGGAAAAAATGGTACTACCGTCATGGAAAGGTACAGCAGTGTCTTATTAAGTATGTACTATTCCTCAGCAGTTGCACTCTTCACAGAAATGAAAATGTGCAAAACCTATACACAAATATAAGTAGCAGTTTTATTCTAAAAAAAAACTGTGCTAAACTGTACATGATAGAGCACTGAGAATAAAGAACATTAATTTAACCCCAACATGGATGGTCTCAAGGGGATCATGCTGACTAAAAACCCAAACATCGCCGAGGGCCAGTGGCTCACTCCTGTAATCCTAGCTTCTCAGGAGTTCAAAGCCAGCCCTGGTAGAAAAGTATATGAAACTCTTATCTCCACTAGAGCACTAGAAAACTGGAAGAGGTGCTGTGGCTGAAGCAGTAAAGGGCTCACCGCCTTGAGTGGAAGAGTGCAGGGACAGTGCCCAAGCCCAGAGTTCAAGCCCCAGGACCAACAACAAAAAAAAAAGCCAAACATCCCAGAAGGTTAAATTTATCCATCTTGAAAAAGAAGATGATAGAAAGGAGAAACAGAGGTAGCTAGAAAAGTGTTAGTGGCTCTGAAAGAGTTGCAGAAAAGATACTGATGATCACCTTGGTCCATGCCTTGTCTGTAATACATAGAACACTGGTGAGAGATGGAAAAACAAGTGAGAATCTGAATAAATTCTATCAGTGCTGATTTCCTACTTAAGATACTATAGTTATGCAAAGATCACATTGAAAGAAACTGGGTAAAAAGCTGTATTATCCTATTAGACTACTTTTCCTTCCACTGTAACAAATACCTGAGAGAAACAAATGAGGAGAGATTTATTTTGGTTCATAGTTTCTGAGGTTTTAGTCCATGGTCAGTTTGCACCATTACTATGGTAAAGCAAAACATCCTGGTGGGAAGAGTATGTGGGAAAGAGGCTGTTAATCTCATGGCAGACAGGAAGCAGAGAGAAGGGGCCAGGGGCAAAGTTAGTGCCCAGCAATATTCCTCCAGTAACCTCTATTTCTTCCAGGTAGGCCTAGCTTGTTTCCAGTACCTTCAAAAATGGCACTAGGAGCTAGGACCCACACCTTTAACACATGGACCTGGTAGTGGACATTTCATATTCAGATGTTAACATTACACTTCTGGCCCACAAAGACTCACAGCCATCTCAATGCAAAACACATATCCTCCATCTCCCAGATGCCCAAAATCTTAAACCTTCCAACACCATCCAAAAAACTAAGTCCAAAATCTCAGATTCAAGGCAAATTTATCTCTGAGGCTTTATAAAATCAAAAATAACAAAAATAAAACTGCATCATTCAAAAACACAACAGCACAAAGTGCACACTTGTTTCAAAAACGAGAAAAAATAGGGGCAACAAAAGGAGAAATGGAATCAAAACAAGCCAAAAAACATTAAATCTTGTATTCCAGGTCAAGAATCTGGAGCACATGGTGGTGTCATTGATCTACAAAGAGTATGTGCAACCTGCCTCCATGGCCTTGCTGGTGCAGCTCATACGGCCTCTCTCCTGAGTTGTCTCCTCACTGCTTATAGCTTTCTTGCTCAGATTTTCCATTTCCCTGATCTGTCAGACTCCCTGAGAGTATCTACCCTCACAGCCTCTCCCAGACATTTCAGGATCACTGTCCAGGAATACCAACCCTTATAACACATTGCCTGACCTCCCTGGCTTTCCTTTGAATTCTAGAAAGGAGCAACTATAATCTACAACTCTTGTATTCTTCATGCTTATAAAACCAGCTTCAAGTGGATGAAAGCAAAAGTCTGTTGCCAACTTTAACTATCGTGAGACCCACTTGGACCATGGTGGCAACAGCCTCTGACTGCCCTATGGCATGGCTTGCTTAAACAGGGCTCTCATTAGATAAATTAGGCTACTGGTCTCAGGACACAGACAAAATGTAGACAAATTCTTTGCCATAGTTAATACACACCCAAAACCACATCTAAACTTGGTACGAACATGCTTCAAGGCCTTTTTTGTTCTTTGGTCTAAGGGGAATTACCAAGTATCTGACAGAGCCTTGACTTAGTATCTGAGATGTGGCCATGTTTTTGAGAGTTTTTCTAGTTGAGAGAGTGAGAAAAGACAACCATTTTGTTTTCCTGATTATATCACCTTTAGCTGCTTGGCAGTCAATAGCGACAAAGATACTTTCTTCCCAAGACTAATTCCATTCAGTTAAATGCCACCAGGTGGCGCTTTCTACATTTTGCCAGGAAACAGCCCCCAACCAAGCATTTATTGGTTTAGTATTGGTACTTTTGCTTTCCAGAGACTTTCAGGCAACTATTTTACCAAATGTTTCCTAATGGCTTCCTAAAGCAGCTTCAACATTGTTTCAATTTTCTCAGCCCTATGCTGTCTCAAAGTCTACACATATATTCTGTTGTACAGCCCTTACCTTCTTTTGTTAAGTTACCTATTACTAAACAATGCTCCAACCAACCATATTTTTGTGAGACTGGAAGAGTATTCTACTATAAAGTTCATTTTGCACACTCTCAATATTGGTATTGTCAGCCTCAATAATTTGAAAGCTGTTAAAGGTTTTGTGTATAAAATAGGTTTCAGTCATCAGTTTTTGTTTTTTTACAATAATCACATTTAGTCTAACAACAGAAAGCTCATGAGATTTTTGAGGTAACATTTAAGATGATTATCGATATATGGAAATGAATATTCAGATGTTAATAAATCTAAATGTGCATCACACTTAATACTGCAATCATTAGTACTTGGTATGATGGCAGCTTACACAGTCATAAAATGTCCCGGCAATCTTATGGAATGCCAGAGATGACACTGAAGTATTTGACCCACTCAGAGCCAAATAACAAATTTGACAATACCTTAGTAATAAACAGATACTGTGAGTACATGTGCCCACATTATTTTCACTAAGGTGTTACATCAGAAATGTGAAGACACTGAACTTAGAACAGTATAGTTTAGCTAAGGCTAAAGAATACTATAGCTGAGTGCCACTGCATCAGGCCTGTACCTAACTACTCAGAGGCTGAGATCTAAGGATCACAGTTTGAAGCCAGCCTGGGCAGGAAAGCCCATGAGACTCATCCAATTTATATATATATTAAAAAAAAAGCTGGAAGTGGAGTTTTGGTCAAGTGGCAGGATGCTAGCCTTGACCACTGAAGTTCAGGCACAGCACCCAGGCCAAATTCAAGCCCAAGGACAGACACACACACACACACACAAACTTCTTATAAAATCCCAATTATTTCTGCTTCAATTTATATTATACACTATGTTTGGTATACACTTTTTTAATAGTCCAACTTTATACTATGAAAATTATTCTTTAAAATTTTAGTAATTTTATATATACCAACATAGATTTAAAAACACAAAAATAAGGTCAAACTTTGTGCTGCATTCTACAAACTATAGGATGTCTTTGACCTTACGTCCAATTTTTAACCTGGCAGGGAAAAGCAAAGAGTATAAAAGGGAGAAAGGGGTGACCCTCTAATTTTGTAATGGCCTATTTTTTGTTGGTGTGACATTCTTAGCTAAGTCCAATATAAGAGATGAAAAAAAAAGTCTAATTGCCTTGCTTCTAGACGCTACAAAAATGGGGTGAAAAGAAATGGATTTAATCCCTGCTCCTTCGCTTTGCGTTCCTGGTGTCCCTCTTTCCCTTAGTGACCCTGTGTGGGGACTTCCCACTCCTAATTCCCCACCCTGCATTCTTTGTTCAATGTCCCCTATGTCATGAACATTGTAGTAGAACTAAATGTCTGAAGAAACACTAAAGCATTATGTATTGTTCTGCTGTTTTAAAAGTCAACTTATTAGCTGGGCGTAGTGGCACATGCCAACAACCCCGCATTTAGGACAAAGGAGGGCTGTGAGCTACAAGTCAGCCTGAACTGCAAGTAAGACCTTCTCAAAAACATGAAGGTAATTTATTCCATCATAAGTAGTACTTTGGGCAAGCATTTTTGCTTGTAATAAGTTAGTTGACAGATATCCTATTTGGCTATCTCCTAATAGTGAAATCCTAGAAAAATGCCTTATTTTACCCACAAAACTGTCTTCAACTATAGCATAGTGTTGATTTGATAGGTTTTATATGCAAGTATATACATCCCCTCATCCCTAGTTTACAAAAAATGTACTCATGTTGACAGATTCCTTTTATTGGAAAGTAAAATAGTTGTAGAAATTAGAATATTTTTACATTATTGTTATATTTTTATGCTTTGTATCAGAATGTACCTCTTATGACCACTGGATCTCTACATTATTGAATATCAGTGTTTAATTAAGAGGAGCTGCAAATCCTACTAATCTGAGAACAATGATAACTCCGTTGCTTAAAATTTTAAGCCCCTGTTCTGGCTGTGCTTTATGCACTATGTGGAATCTGATGCAGCTCTCTTCCACTCAGCCAACAATTCTTTCTGGACCTCTTCTGGTAGTTCATAGAAAACTTGAGGATCAACTTCAGGTGGAAAAGTAACTTTCTCTGCAGCAGACTCTTGCTCTCCTTTTTCTTGAAGTCCTTCTTGAGGAGAGGCTGTTGTTGTTTGCTTATGGCTGCCTGTACTGCGGTTTTTGGAGAAAAGCTGCTCACTCTGCAAATTTGGAAATGAATGGAAAACAGATACAGTAGTGTTTATTTTGGAAAAGTGAAATCCTTGAGATTCTTTAGGTCCTTGACTTGTTCGTTCATCTTTTAATCGATTATCTATATAGTATGAGTAATCTTTTTGGCTAGATGAATAACAGGAATTACTGCTACTTGAACTTGAGGTTCCTGGTTCACAAGGATATGTAGAAGATACCTGCTTGCTACTGGATAAATTATCTCTAGAAGTTAATGGAATATCTTTCATTTGCTTTGTAGAAAAGAAAGATAATACTCCTCTGGAAGCATGTAGTGGACAACTCAAACTTCCTTTCTCTTGAAATTTTTCTCTAGATTTTCCAGAAAGTATTTCGTCTTGAATATCTGCAGGAAGCTGCTTAAAAACTTCTTGGTCAACCTCCTCAGGAAGTAAACAGAGTGGAAATTCATTAACATCTTTTTCATTAGAAACATTTGTAGTGTCCAATGGAGATTCCCCAGTTCCTGTACTTTCAATTCTTCCACTTGGTAGAAAATTCGAGTTTGTTTCTTTGTCTTTGAAAAAATCTTCTATATGAGTGTCTTTCATTTTCTATAATCAGAAGAGCAGATTAGTTCAGTTATCTGATGTCTTGTAAAATATCCCTGCTGCTGCAGAGAAGCCTATAGTTTCACTGACAAAATGTTTCAAACCAATTCGGCACATTCAATCTTTTGTAGTCAAACATTCAGAGATAATTAACCTATCAAAATTTGTCACATGGGTCTGGGAAGGTGGCTCAGTGGTAGAGCGCTTGCCTTGCATGCATGAGGCCCTGGGTTCGATTCCTCAGCACCACATAATCAGAAAAAGCCAGAAGTGGCATTGGGCTCAAGTGGTAGAGTGCTAGCCTTGAGCTGAAGGACAGCGCCCAGGCCCACAGTTTAGGCCCCACGACTCACCAAAAAAAAAAAAAATCAAAATTTTCTATTCAAATTCACACAAAATTTTACAGCTTTTAGCTTCAATTTCAGTTTTAAGAGCCATAAAATATATACATGCTGACATGGTAGTCCATGCCTACAATCTCAGTTATTCCAGAAGCAAACAGGAAGAATACAATTCAAGGACAACCTATAGAGAAACCTTGCTTGTCTCAAAACAAGCAAGGGATGGTGATCAATGCCTGTGCTTTCAGTTATTCATTTGACACAGGCAGAAGGATCCAAGCTCTAGGCTGAACTGGGCAAAAATGCAAGACTTTGTCTAACGACCTCAAGTAAGGTTTAGAGACTTGATGGCAAGCTCAATATCCTAAATTCAAGCCCCAGATGGCCAAAAACAAAGTACATACACAGTCCAACATAGTTTCCATAAACTTGGATGCAACAGTAACTTCCCAGGTATTAACCTCCGGTTGTGGCAGCCCAAGTACAGGCCTGTAATCCCAGCATTTGAGGTTGAGTGCTGAAGAAGACAATTACACATTTGCAACCAGCCTGGCCTACACAGCACTTTCCAGAGCAGTTATGGCAATTTAGCAAGACCTTGACTAAAATAAAACAAAGAATGTAAAAAAAGAACAACTACTGTGTACCAGAGAGGCAAAGTTACTTCATGGTATCTATTTCTCTACTCCCACTGTAAATTAGAGAACCTTAATTCCCATCCTACAGATTAAGATGTGGAAAGTAAATAGTTTTTTAGCTTTGGGTTAATACACTGAATAAAAGGATTACAAAATAAAAAAAATAAATCATTTTCATAGCATTTTGTTCTCATTTAAGTAGAAGTAAAAACACTGCTAACCTTATACTGATTAAAAAAATAAGGATTTTAAATTGTAGACTTTTTTCTTTTTCTTTTTGGTCAGTTGTGGGGCTTGACCTCTGGGCCTGGGAGGTGTCTCTGAGCTCTTCAGCTCAAGCTAACACTCTACTACTTAAGCCACAGTGCCACTTCCTGGTTTTCTGGTGGTTAACTGGAGGCAAGAGTCTCACGGACTTTCTTGCCCACTGGCATTGAACTGCAATCCTCAAATCTCAGCCTCCTGACTTGCTAGGATTACAGGCATGAGCCGCTGGCACCCAGCTTAAATTGCAGACATTTTTTAAAGCATCCCATACTTGCTACAACACTGTTTATTAGTCATATAAAAATGTGACTGGACCCTGCTCTATTGACACAGTTTTTTTGTCTATTTTGATGCCAGTACTGTTTAAGACTGGGCCTTGTGCTCTCACTCAGTTTTTTGCTCATTACTGGTGCTCTACCCCTTGAGCCTCACCTCCACTTCTACCATTTTTGCTAATTAGTCTTAGATAAGAGTCTCTGAACCTTTATTCTCAGATCTCAGCCTCTTGAATAGCTAGGGCTATAGGTGTGAGCCAACAATATTGCTACCAAAAGTCAATGTAATTTCAAAACTAAGAAAATTTAAATACCTTAATTATGAAAAACACAGGGCACTAGTAGCCAATACCTTAATCCTAGCTACTCAGGAGGCTGAGCTCTAAGTATTGCAGTTCAAAGCCAGTCCAAGCAGGAAAGTCCATGATACTCTTATCTCTAATTAACCACCAGAAAACCGGAAGTCAAACTGTGGTTCAAAGTGGTATAGCACTAGCCTTGAGCAAAAGAGCCCAGAATTCAAGCCCCATGACCAACAACAACAAAAATGAAGAAAGTACTAGTTATGAATAGACTGACAGACAAAAACAGATTCCATTTCCAGTTTCTGGGAATGTTTTCATCTATGAGTTAATCTATCATAATCCTCTATCTGAAATGGGTTAGTAGCACTTCCAAAACAGAAGCTCTGTAACAGCTTTCTCTTTTACTTAGTGATGTTTATGGTTTCTTCTTAGTTTACAATATATTATTTAAGGCTAGCAACCATTCTCTAATAGTCACTATAAACAAATAAGTCATCCAAACAGTATCACCCAAAGAATGTCTAATATCAGTTAAATCCAAATGTAGATATAATACATAACTATATTCTATAAATTCTGTTCTTACACAATTGAATGATAAACAGAGAATACTTACAAAGCTGCGCTTGCCAGAGTGTGAAGTTGTTGATAATGAAGGTGTTAGATAATAATCAATAAGCCCTTTCTTAGCAGTATTTTGGGCTTTTAGGTTGCAGAAGCATACACTTAGAAGAGTAAGGTGAAATGGCATCTTCACATTCACCATATTTCGAAAAAGTTTCATAAGTATATCAACCATTGGAGTCATCACATCATAATTTCCTGAGTGAAATATTCAAGAATATCTAAGCATGTTATATCACAATTAATATTGAGCTTAATACAAGTTATATGCTTAGAATAAGAACCAGAAGTCCTAACTTACACTTTTCAAAAGATCAAACAGTCGATGGGGGATTATTATCAGAAAAAAACAAGACCACAGTGGGAAGACCAGGAACAAGAGCACAATAGAGGTAAACATGATCAAGATGTTATATGCTTATGTAAAAAATGACACAATAAAACCCATTATTTTATACAATTAATATAAGACATGATGGTTAATCTTGATTAACAACTTAATTGGATTGAGAAGCATCTAGAAGATTAGTAAAGCACACCTCAGGGTGTGTCTCTGCAGATTATTTCCAGAGAAGATTGAGAACATCCATCCTAAACGTGGACAGCATCACCCCATAGGCTGAGGGCACAGAAAGCATAAAAGAAATACGAGGATAAAGCCCAGCGTCCACTTCCTTACCACCACGAGGAGAGCTGTTCTGCTACACTATACCACCCAAAAGATAGACTCAAACCTCAAAAACTACCACAGATACTAATTTTTAAAACTACTTAAAAAAGTGGATATAATGATGGACACTTGTCATCCCAGCTACATAGGAAGCATAAATAGAAGGAACATGTTCAGGCCACCTGGGAGAGGGGGACCAAATCTAAAAAGTAATAAAAGCAAAAAGGGCTATAGATTTGGCTCAATGGTAGAGGACCTGCCCAGCAACTGCAAGGAAGGCCCTGAATTCATACCAAGTACAGCCAAAACAAAAAAGGAAATTAAAATACTAAATTGAAATCACTGGGCATCTTTTCCTTACTTACTAAATATACACTATATAATTAGTTTCAATAATGAAGAAAGATGGAAAATGTTCCTATTCCTAGCACTCAGGAAGTGGGGGCAAGAATAATGACCTACAGCCTGAGCTACAGAGCAAGTTCCAGGCCAGCCTGGGCTACATAATGAGACCTTGCCTCAATTTAAAAAAAATAATAATTCTAGTGAAGACATTTGATAGGATAAAAGTATTAAATGCTTCAGAGTTCAATCTGACAAATACATTCTTAGGAAACTAGTGATACCTGTCCCTAACTTCTGAATGATATGGGATGGAATGGGACACTGACGACTCTCACGACTGTAGTGCTTCTCGGGTGAATATCGACGGATTACTAATCGTATTGTATGGGGCCTCCTTCCATCTTGGCATACCCTAAAAATATGAAGAAATGAAAATTAGAGAAAGTATTAAATACTTTTTAATATATTTTTATTGTAAAGATACTGAACAAAGGGGTTATAGTTACATGAGTAAGGTAATGAGTAATTGAATATATTCACTATTAAGCACTGTTACCCCCTCCTTTGTTTTTCCCCTACATCCCTTCTATCCCCACCTGCCCAACTCCTCCTTCCCCCCCCAAGAAGTTGTAAAGTTCATTTTCAACAAAATAGTATAAGACCACAATTACGATACAGTAGACAATAGTAAACAAGAAAGTTCCAAGGTGCCTGAAATATCTAAAGAAGCTATGCACTAAACCTCTGACATTACAAATCTAAGATCTGAAACAGAACAGAAATAGACAGAATCATAAGACAAGCTGCTTTACCAATCTAAAATGTAAATGAAAGCAACATATTAAAAGACCATCCCATCTGACAAGAGGAAATAACTTAAAACTTACAAGAGAAAAAGTTTCACAAGTTTTTGTGCAAAATAACTTTTGCTCATGGAAACTCTCTGAATAGACTTGAAAGAATCAGTGATTAGTGTTAACATTACTGCATATCGGAGCCATACTATAAAAGATCAATTGCTTACATTTAGGAAGACAATCGTGCATTTAAACAAAATTCCATCTAAATGGTCTTGGTTGTGATGTTAAAAGTTTTAATGAAAAAGAAAGTTTTAATGAAAAAGGAAGTGGCAGCTCATGCATATAATACTAGCTACTCAGGAGGCTGAGATCTGAGGATCAAGGTTCTAAGCTAGCCAAGGCAGGAAGGCCCATGAGACTCTGTTCTTCAATAAACTACCCAACAAGCCAGAAGTGGAGCTGTGGCTCAAGTGGTAGGGTGCTATCTTTGAAAAGAAGCTCAGGGACAGCCCAGGCCCTGAATTCAAGACCAAGGTAAGGACTGGCACCAAGGAAAAAAGAAAAAAGAAGAAAATGTAATTACTAGAAAAGTAAGTGTAATTAAGGGATAATATTTTCCTCTTTCATTTTTTACATCAATTCATTAAAAATCATACCATAAACAAACGAAAAATATACATTTTAATACTCAATGAAAATTCTAAATTTGAGTAAATAATTTTGTCTCTCTTCCTGCTATATCACAATTTTCTTGATTGATGTTCAACCAAGGTAATAAATATTTTTAGTAGCTCCTGCAAACAAATGACTTGATTATCTTCTAGCTACACTTGTTCTTTTAAGTAATTACACAATTCAGAGTAAGATATGCAACTGTGATACATTAGAAAGAGGTTAAATCCTAAGCAATTTTAAACTATTGCCTAGAGAATGGATTAAAATTATATAGTTTGACATTTCTTTAACAACTACAGAATCATCATATACTCTAAAACAAAAAGCATTAACACCACCACACCAACTCCCTCCCCCCTATACACAGTCTTTTCATTTCAGAGTGCTCTAATATCTAACTGAATAAGAGTGCATGACCCAGTTTCACAAGTACACTCCCCATCCCAGCCTGAGTCATCCTGATGTAGCTGGTGCACACAAGGCAGCCTCAGTTGCATGCAACAAGATGAGCTGCAAGTCAGCTCCGGACATGAGGCAAGATGTATGTTATTGCAAAACTGGAGGAAACTTAATCCATTTTCTGAGACTTAGAATCATCCCCAAACAGTTAGATACAGTTAGCCTTTCTACATTTAGTGCTGAAGCACACCTAAACTAAGCTATTAAACATCTGTCACTCCAACTAGAGAAATTTCTAACAAGAGAGAAAATGAAAAGAGATAAATACTTTTCTACAAAGTAATATGAAATATATACACAAGGACCAGAATCCCAATACAAATTTATAATCCTTTACACACTCTATTTTCTGTGTCTTCCTTTGACTCCAATTTCTTTGTGTCTGTATGCTGGTCCTGTGGTTTGAACTTGAGCTTTTTTGGCTCAAGGCTAGCATTCTACCACTTCAGACACACCTTCACTTCGGGCTTATAAGTGGTTAACTGGAGATAATTTCCTGTCCAGGCTGGCTTCAAACCATAATCATCACTTCTCAGCCTCCTGAGTAGCTAGGATTATAGGTGTGAGCCACCAATACCAGGTTCCCACTTTCTTTTCCATAGTCTGAGGTAAAGATGTAAGGTTTCACTGCCTTCCTCAACCATTACTGTTTTATTAGCTTTCTCTTCTTAAACATGACGAATTCAGCTGTTCCCACATAACAAGTTTTAGAATTGTGACAGTATTATTTCTCTCTGTATTTTTCCCTCTTACTACAAAGCAACTATTAGGTTGCGAGCAAACTTTGCACTTGCCAAGAAAAATTTAACCTATTTCCTTCTCACCTAAGGATTAGAACAAGCGTAGGAATAAGAAGTATCCATAATATCCCTTTAGGTAACTAGGTTAGGAGCCACAAATACAACTGTATATTACTTAAGACTAGTAAAAGAAGGTGGATTAAATAAGAGCAAATATTACTGTTCATAATAGTTTATAACTATATATATATATAATAGTTTATCAGAAATGCAATATCTATCTGTATTAGGGAACATTGTTTCCTGTAATCTTCAAGATCCAAGACAGAGGATAGAGTAGTCTTTTTCTTGCACACAGAAGGAACATACAGGACAAGTTAGCAGAATGGACTGACAATCACCTGTTCAAAAGGCTAGCAAGAAGTTCTTCAATCTTTTTTTTAGCTTCTACTTCTGATGAACATTTTTTAAATGAATCTTCTTCACTAAAGGACTACAAAAGATGTATAAGATAAATGTAAACTTGAGGAAATATATACAGTATATATGTCAAAGAAATATCCAATATATTACTTGTTAAATAACTTGCCTCTTGTGCTGCTCACTTTCATACTAACTTTTTTTGTAGAAGTTACTGTCCTCTACTAGAAGAACACTGAAAGTGAAAAAAGTTACACAGCTCTAGTACCAACTACAAGTTTACTGCATGACTGCAGTGAGGTTCTGCCTAACTCAAAGGTGAACTGTAAAGATTAAATGGACTGAGGTATATATAAAGCACATAGTAAAGAACTTGTTATGTATGAAAAAATAATAGTGTTAACTGAATGATTACAACTTTCCCAACTATTGGACTATTCTGAAAACAACATTCTTAAAAGACTAACACATTGGTCTGGGAAGCTGGCTCAGTGGTAAAGTGCTTGCCTTGCATGTATGAGGTCCTGGGTTTGATTCCTCAGCACCACATAAGCAGAAAAAGCATGAAGTGGCACTGTGGCTCAAGTGGTAGAGCATTAGCCTTGAGCTGAAGAGCTGAAGGACAGCACCCAGGCTCAGAGTTCAGGCCCCACAACCAACAAAAAAAATAAAAAACTGCATTTATATATGTTTATATATGTGCTTATATGTTTTACAGGATGTAAGCTGTAGTCAATCAAAATGACGAATTGAGAATTCAAAGTATTAACACTCAATCTGAATTTAAGAATATGTATTAATCTAATAAATCAGCCTTCTCATAGGAAAAGGATTATGTACTAAGTGAAAAGCAAACTAAAGTAATAAGAACATGATAATAAAACTAGAAATCCTTATCTCAAGTCTTGTAATAATCAGTACTTAATTAAAATAACTGACAGCCATGTACCTGAGGTGGTCCTGAGGGCATGACAGGAGAGTTATCCTCCCCAAAACTGAGCTTCTGGATACGCTGAGCAACTGAAATTCCTAATTCCTTTTCTAATATTTTGAAAGAAAAGCTTTGGAGATCACACACACTGTTGATTCCCAGAACTTCAAGACGTTTCGCAGTTTTATAGCCAATACCTAAAGAATAACAACAAAAATAAACTTAAAATACTAAGACATGTCAGTCCTATTTTAAGCCCTAAGTTAATACCATTGCAAATTAGGATATTTTTCTTCCACTCATGGCCCTTGAGTTATATAGATTTCTTTCAAGTTCGGACAACATTATATTATAATAAGTAGAGATAGTCAGTAAATTCTACCATAGTAAAAATAATTTTTTTTTATTGTAAAGCTACTATACAGAGGGTTACAGTTACATGAGTGAGGTAATGAGTACACTTCCTCTTGAACATTGTTACTCCCTCCATTGTTTTCCCCCTACCATCCCCTCCCTCCCTCCCTTCCCCGAGGTTTTTTTTTTTTTTTTTTTGATTGTGATTAAATGATTACATAATTTCAAAGTCACAAGTTCATTCTAACTTCCCTGGAGCAAATTGTCTACCACAGTCTGTAATATATAACAGTGTTCACATGTTATATACCATATTTGTGATCAGCAGCATGGGGATATTTAGTAGTGGTTCAACCAGATGAGCGGGAGTTCTTTGTTTCTTAAGTCCTGTTAGTTTTGTCGTATCACCTAACCTTTTGGATTTAGCATCCACTTATCAGGGAGACCATGTACCGTTTGTCTCTTCGTTCTTGGCTTACCTCGCTCAACATGATTCCTTCTAGCTCCATCCATTTCCCTGCAAATGCCATTATTTTGTCATTTCTACTCAGACTATTTAATGCCTTCTTATTCAGTTAAAAGAGAAGTTAATTCTACAATTATCTGGTTACCTTGTACAGTAAAATCAGAAAACTAGGCAACAACTTGGGGGAGAGGAGGTTTAAAGTGGGGCAACAGATTTTTATAGCATAAACAGGAAGACCAACAATTGGTAATAAAGAGAAAAGAAGCTTGTAATAATAGGTGGTAACAAAAAATAAATTCAAATAAGAGTTTGTATTAGCATACAGTCCTCCGTTTCTTACAACTTGACTTTGTTCTTCAGAATGAAAACAATAAAACTTCAAAATGATATTGAAGAAAGCAGATATAATACAATTTAGAATCAAACAAATATTGGTCAAAAATGGGAAACTATGACATCTACTACCTAAATTTCTGTTGTCTTAGAAAATTGATTTCCACAGATTACATCAGATTTTCCAACAATGCCACAGAAATGAAGTGTAACATATTCATTAATGATTATGTCTATAAAATACAGGCACTTGATCTTCAATGGCAAAAATCTGCACCAAGATGTGAACAGGGGAATGAGCTCAAAGAAATCCATTTCCTCTTTAAAACAAAGAAGTTGACCTAGAGGCTTTGACAAGCCATTTGTAACCCTACTATTTTATTTATTTTACTCTGAGGGTTCCCAGAGACTTAACAAAATGTGACTTTCTTCTCTAGATTCAATGTACAGTATAAGACTACGAGCCAAGGACTGGAAATGAAAGACCATATGTTTCAAGATTATAATATTCACAAACTGGGCTGGGAAAGTGGCTCAGTGGTAGAGCGCTTGCCTTGCATGCTTGAGGCCCTGGGTTCGATTCCTCAGCACCACATAAGCAAAAAGAAAAAAGCCAGAAGTGGTGCTGTGGCTCAAGTGGTAGAGCGCTAGCCTTGAGCTGAAGAGCTGAGGGACAGCACCCAGGCCCAGAGTTCAGGCCCCACTACCGGACAAAAAAAAAAAAATATTCACAAACTGATACAGAAAAGTACTTCCATGTATCCCTTCCCACAGACTAGATTTTGTTATCGTTTTCTCTAAGAGCCAAGTACATACCTCTAGGAATTAATGACATTGTATTAATAACTTTCAAGATGAATGAAATAAAACAAAGGCAATAGATATTTTTCATATACATTTGTCTTACCAGGCATTTCCTTTATGTGGTTCAAACTATTTATGAGATCTTGACAACTTTCAGGTAGTAAGACTGTTTGTTGATTTGGTTTAAAGACACCAGAAACTAATTTTGCCAATAGTTTATTAGAAGCGACTCCAGCACAACCTGTGAGCCCCAGCTGATTATGCATGGCTTCCCGCATCTCTGCTGCTACTTGGGATCCAACAAGTAGTCTCATATGCATGATATTATGGAGGTTCACAGCTACAAAAGCAGACAATGTTGTTTAAAGTCACAACAAAATATTTTAATTTTCTTCTTTACAAAACAATTTTTAAAGAGTCAGAGCTTAGTTTATACCCAAACCCTCCCCCAACCACTAACACTACTCTGCTGTGCTTGAATTATTCCTTTGGTTCTTCGTAGGATCCCATAAATTTAACAAACACAAGTGAATTCCAAGGAGCTATAATAAATGTATGCTGAAAGTGGTTAAATATTATAGATTATGAAAACTGATCTAATAATTCCTACAGACAGTAACTTCTATTTGCACTTACCTATAAATACACATACAAGTATTACAGTAAGAAAGCTAACCAAAAAAAGCCATGTGTGAGCTCCCAGGACCTGAGATCAAGTACCATCATAAAAAAAATAAATTCATTAAATTTAAAAAGTAATTTCTTAAAGCTAACATAATAGCTTCAAAGATCTAAATCTAAACTTTACACACCACCAATATGTGCTGCTGAAAACAATTTTTTACCTGTTTAAGAGATCTTTTATGAAACTGAATACAGAAAACAAATTTGGCATGAAAATTACATCCTTTATCCTTAGGACTTAAGCAAGAAGGATTTACAGATGGAGTTTAATGATGTTTACAAATGACTTCCAAATCATCCTTTCTACAAAGCAAGATAAACTGACATATGATTTATCTGTAAGAAAGAACTTAAATGTATTCATTATACAATTCTACCAATTTTTCTGTAGGCTTGAAAAAAAAACCTAGTGTGAAATAGGAAAAATTATATTTTCTATTTAGAATATAAAATATAGCTCTCTGTAGAGAGATATGTTCTAATCAATACATTAAGTTTGCTTTGAATTATAAAGAAATATATTTTGAACCTCGTTGGTATTTAGCCTTTGTAAGTGATAAGAGAGAACAGATGGTAAGACACATGAAAAGCTTCATGTCTCCTAGAAATGGTGGCTCTACCTCTTTTCTTTTGTGGAAAACTACAGTAGAGACAGTCCTATAAATAGAGATGAAAAGAAGTACATATCTAGTCCTACTACCAAAAGGGTATTACAACTGTTACACAAACGCAAAGCAGCTTGTTTTCTTTTTTTGTATGACATGGGATTCACTACACCTGAAAACCTATTTAGATACTCACTGGATACTGCTTGTTTTCAAATGCCACTATCTCTAGAAACACCATCAGTTTGTTGTTGTTGTTTTTTCTTGTAAGTACTGGCATTTCGTCCAAAGGCTTTGTGTTTGCTAGGCAGACATTTCTACCATTTGAATCATGTTTCTAGTCCTTTTTACTATCATTATTTTTCAAATAAGCTATTTGTGCATCCTACATAACTGGACTGAAAGGGACATGCCACTGCACCTAGGTTTTTATTTGTCGAAATGGGCTCTTGCACACTGTTTTGCACTACCTGGCTCAAATGGTGACCTTCCTGATCTCAATCTCCCAAGTTGCTGGGAGTACAGGCATGAATCACCAACCCAGCTTCACTCACATCTTAGTGAAGGAAATGAGCCATGTTGCTTTCTTGCTAATAATAGGTAGAGGTGATATGAACTGTTAACTAGAAAGTTGGAAAAGACACATAGCAAGCAGGTCTGTGAAAGACCTGGACAAGATTCTGTGAGTGCTAACTTAGAAAGGGAGAGACAACTTGAAGGTCTCAATGCCTCAGGAACAGAGGGATCCAAGGAAAAGATTCATCAATGGCAAAACCTCAAAATCTACTTCAATGTTTGCTTAGAGATGGTGTAGAAGAATTAAAAGTCAATCTAAAAAATGTAGTAACAAACCAATTCCTGGAATGTAAGGTTAACCTAAAGAGGACTTTATGGTTGAGATGAAAGCCAGGTGCTGGTGGCTCATGCCTTTAATCCTAGCTACTCAAAAAGCTGAGATCTGAGGGCTGTGGTTCAAAGCCAGCCTAGGCAGAAGAGCTGTGAGACTCTGATCTCCAATCAGCCACCAAAAAACCAGAAGTATAGCTGTGACTCAAAGTGGTAGAGCAATAGTCTTGAGCAAAAAAGGACAGTGCCCAGGTCCTGAGTTCAAGCCCCATAACTTACCAAAAAAAAAAAACCCAAATACAAACACACACACACACACACACACACACACACACACACACACACACACACACACACAGAGAGAGAGAAAAGAAAAACAATTGAGAAGAAACAGTATATTAGAGAGATGAAAACTGGACAGCTACAATTCATCAAAATTCTTCATGCTTAACATGGAATGGGAACAAGTCATTCATTTTAGTTATCTTAGATGACCTCCTCCAAGTCAGAAATCTTTCAGAATGATAGAAAGGAGTCCCTAACATTAACCTAGGTGTACTAACTTACTAAGGAGAAGGACTGTGAATGCACTCACGTTGATTATTGTATACATGACCAGACACTGTCACTGCAGAAAGCTCATTACTTTGAAGGTGCTGGAGTCTCTTCTCAACCATTTCTGTTAGATCCACAAAATTCTCATCAAATCCAAGTCTCTCAACAATGGGACTAAATTCTTCCAACAATTCTAGATTCAAATAATAGAGAAACATAGATGTAAGTGCAAATTTAACTTAATGTTTAACAATCATCAAATACATTGTTAATAGATATAGATATATTCATTACTTCATAATCATTTTTAAAAGGTCTCATTCACTGGGAAGTTTTCTTTTTTCTGTACCACACTGACTACATACCAAGAAAACAAGCCCCCAAATGACATTCCTGGGGAAGTTACTCATAGCCACATTTTTAGCTCAATCATCCATGCTTATAATTTCTTATATAGAATACAATAAATATCAATGCTTATAGTTAATTATATATAATCTTGAAGATGATGCCAAAGAATAAATTATAGCCTTCTTAGGAAAGCAGCCATGACATGCTTAGTTTATTTCTTCCTAAGTTATAAGAGCTTTCTGTGTATTATATACATCTAAACCTTTTCATATGAAAATTGAGAACAAGTAAAAATAATAAAAAGTTAATAGAAAGCTGATTTGTACATTTTTCTAAACTCTATATATTTGCAGTATACCAGGGCACAGCATTTCCATTTTTTCTGTTCCCTATGCCACTAAGGTTCAAACACAAACTAGCATGGGAGAATTTAACTATACTGTAATTTTCCATGCACACATAACATCATAACGTTTTAAGAAATCAGATTTCAAGGGGTTGGGAAGGTGGCTCAGTGGTAGAGCGCTTGCCTTGCATGCATGAGGCCCTGGGTTCGATTCCTCAGTACCACATAAGCAGAAAAGGCCAGAAGTGGCACTGTGGCTAAAGTAGCTAGAGTGCTAGCCTTGAGCTGAAGAGCTGAGGGACAGCGCCCAGGCCCAGAGTTCAGGCCCCACGACCGGACCAAAAAAAAAAAAAAAGAAATCAGATTTCAATTATTATTAACATTACAGACAACTCTCCCAACTATTATTAGTGCATTAGAAAACAACATATTCTTCATAACAAACTTAAAGCTTTAATGTCTTCCTTATACTCAATTTTCTTTTTTGTTACTAAATAATAGTCATGACAGAATCACTTCCAAGTGTTCATTCTCTTGTAACATTAAGAGTAAGTGACTTTTTCTTTTTCTTTTTTTTTTTGGGGGGGTGGGGGGCCGAGGGTTCTGGTCATGGGCCTGAACTCTGGGCCTGGGCGCTGTCCCTCAGCTCTTCAGCTCCAGTCTAGCGTTCTACCACTTGAGCCACAGTGCCACTTCCGGCTTTTTTCTTTTTGCTTATGTGGTGCTGAGGAATCGAACCCATGGCCTCAGGCATGCAAGGCAAGCGCTCTACCACTGAGCCACCTTTCCAGCCCCCAGAAAGTGACTTTCTTATATCATGTTTTTAAGTGGACTAGATCCAAAATAAAAAGCTTTTAGGAAAATAGAACTTGATTTAAGCATTTTACTGATTTATGCAGTACACAGACATCTTACATAAAAACTGTTAAAAAATATATTGCTCATAATTTGTACCTGTAACTTTGTAAGACATTTCTCTGTAACGGGTCAAGTCTTCTCCATTGACTAATATCAGCTGTGGGCACTTCTCTTTTGCATCTCTGACATTCATAAGTTTCTTAACTCCAAGCTCCCTAGCTTCATAGTTGCAAGTAACCACCAAGTATTTCTGCTGAACGCCTACACGAAATAAATATTTCTATGAGAAATTTAAGCAAAATTGAATATTTAAAATATAATCTACTAATCCCATGTTATAGCTGTAATGAAAAGAAAAAAATTGTCTCAGAAGATGAACTCTATCAAAATTCAACCAAAAATCAGGTTTTGGACTAGATGATAATAATAATAACCTATTATTAATTAAAAGAGTCTCATGTTAGTTTCCATATCCTACTTTCAGTCTTTAGCTGTTTTATCTACTTAGGGCAGAAATTATTTAATAAGAAAACACTAACAAACAATAAATTAGAGACTCAATTATTCATCTAAAAATTAAACTATTATTTCTCAAAGTTAACCAAAACTAATATAATCACTGTATTTCATAGGATTTTTAGTGATTAAAGAGAAATCAGACAACAAAAAATCCTACTACTCTATACTGCCATATATAATTCCAGTAATGGTTTACCAAAAAATAAAACAGTTGATAATAGGTACAATTAAATACCAGTTGCCACTAGAGAAACTCATTTTCCACATAAATCGCCAATGCATATAAGCAATGGTCTGCATATAAGCAATGGTCCAAATGCCAAGCTACAATAATTTTTAGGGTTTACACACTTGGCAATGAAGTAATCATGTTTCTGCAGTGCCTTAAGAACAGCTTTAATATGGTTAAGAAATCAGAATGAAGGGCGAATCATGAGGAGCAAACTCTATAATCCTACAGACAAATATTATTGAATGTGAAGAATTACCTAAAGGCTTCCCCTTCAATTCTGGATGTGAGATCATTTCTACTTGTGCATAAAAGCAATCAAGATCCACGTGTACTATGACTCTGGATGAGGAACTTTGTGTTGGCACCAATGGATCGTGAACTACTGCACAATAAGAAACAAAAGCATATAGACTCAGGCTGCTTATCATCTTTGACCAATCCTTTCTTAAAATACTTTCTCTGGCTGAGCATCAGTGGTTCACTACTATAATCCTAGCTATTCAGAGGCTGAGATTTGAGGATCCCACTTGGAAACCAGACTGGGCCGGAAAGTCCCTAAGCCTCTTATCTCCAATTAACCACCAAAAAGATGGAAGTGGCGATGTGGTTCAAGTGGTAAAGTGCTAGCTAGCCTTGAAAGGGATAGTGCCTAGACGCTGATGTCAAGCCGTAGGACAAGTGCCACAGGAAGGAAGGGAGGGAGGGAGGGAGGGAGGGGAAAAGGGAGGGAGGGAGGGAGGGAGGGAGGGAGGGAGGGAGGGAGGGAGGACAGGAGGAAATGAGGATTTAAGGATTTTTCACCATTATGGGTCAAATCTTTAAATACACCAAAGCATCTAAAATTATCAAACTCCAACAGCTATACATTCTTCAGTCTTGTTTACATAATTAGTGTTGCTTTGTGCATTATATTTTTCCCAGCATTAATAATGGGGAAAATCTTAATTAAAATTGGATGAGGCAGAACAGAATACTCTATGATTTTTTTTGGGGGGGCGGTCCGGTCGTGGGGCCTGAACTCTGGGCCTGGGCACTGTCCCTCAGCTCTTCAGCTCAAGGCGAGTGCTCTAACACTTGAGCCACAGCACCACTTCCGGCTTTTTTCTTTTTGCTTATGTGGTGCTGAGGAATCAAACCCACGGCCTCATGCATGCAAGGCAAGTGCTCTACCACTGAGCCACCTTCCCAGCCCCAGAACAGAATACTCTAAAGCAGTTTGATAATAAATCAGAAACGGCAGGAAAACTTGAAAAAATGTTGAGTTCCAACCACCATGAAAATTATTCCAAGGTACTGTCTCTCCATTTAAATAAATCGTTGGAAATACAAATTATTAAGACAACCTGGGGGTTCCAGTGAACTGTTTCAGCTCTCACGTGAAAGCAAGAGTCCCCAGGGTCTACAAGAGTGCTACCAATAAATACTAGCGTTGCAATATTTTAAGGGCACGAGGTGTAGCTCACTGGTGGGGCACTTAGGTGGCTCGCCTTCAGATCCTGGGTTTAATCCTCAGCACCAATCGACAGAGAACACAAATTCTGGTTTATGTCATGGGTGGTGAAAGAGATGAGAGGTAAGTCTTGCTCATCTTAACTACAATTTAAAAAATAACAAGGTAAAATAAAGACTGGAGCTGAAACAAAACCATCAGTGGCAAAATTGGCAGAAGGTAAATATTAAGGTACCAATTTCATTTTCTGATCCTCCTCCCCCCCAAAAAAGAGTAGGGAATGAGAGATCCTGGAGGGGGCGGTCAAAATTGGGATCTGAGACTGGGAGTGAGTCAGAGCAGAGGCGACACAGCAGCCTAGTGCTGGGTTCCAGGCCATCCTTCCCTTCCCTACCCCCGGGGTCGAGGCCAGCCCCCCCCACCGGGAGGCCGGACAAGGCCCCACCTTCCCCCTGCGGCCTCCGGGGAGCGCCCGCGGCCTTCCACGGGGGAGGGCGGGAACAGGTGCGCCTCCCTTCCGCTGCCCTCTCCTCTGCAGGGCGGGGGCGCCCCACCCCGTCCGACAGGGTGAGTCCATCCCCGGCCGGTACCAGCGGAGGCACCGCGAGGCCGCACCGCCGGCGGGGCCGGGAAGACCGCGGGAGGTGGGGGGTGGCGGGGACAACCGCGCCCCAACGGCCGCCGCCCCCGGGCGTCCGCCCGCCCAACCCCGCCCCAACCTTCTCATTTACACCCAGGGAGGCCGCCCGGTTCCGCCGGCGCACACTCGGCCGGCGCGGGAGCCTCCGGCGAGGGGCCCGCCGCCTCCGCGTCCGCCAGCTCCATGGCCGCCTCTTCCGCTTCCTCGTCGCGGCCGCTTGGTAACTCAGGCCCCGCCCCCCGGAGGCTCCGCCTCCAGAGAGGCTCCGCCCTCGGCGTCTGCCCTTGCGGCCAACCGCAGCGCAGCTTCCGGCTCGGTCGCCATGGAAACCGGGGGCCGACCAATTCCCCACCCCACCCACCCCCTGCCTCTGAGGTCCTCACGTTTGCGACTTTCTGGCCGACCGTCCTGCTTCCCGGAGTGATGCGCGGGCCTGGAAACCCGTGTCGGTCGGCGTGCTGGCTGTCTCCAGCACCAAGGGAGAGAGCGAGATCCCAAACAGCTTTTGCTTAGTGCTGGTTCTGGAGGGCTTTGGTGTAAGGCCTGCGCCACGAATTTTGCTTTTTTTTTTTAAAACCTTTGTTTTGTTCTCCAAACCAGGAGAATATTAACCAAATGAACTAAACCCCAGACCTGGATGGGGATAGAGATAGAGAAAAGTTGCAGATTATAGTAAGTAAAAGCCAGGTGGCCCTGTAGACTCATAGCACAAGCATGTTAAGGCTTCTTGAGTTTTGCTTGTTTTACTTTAAAAGTTTGCACCAAGTTGGGCCTCAAAATTGCTCAAGATCACTCAGACTCAGCATCTTGCAAAGAACTGCTCTGAGCCTTAGTTGCTGCACTGTTTCATGTGTGTGCAATATATATGATTAGATATGTAGCTATATTCAAATGTATCAGAATGTATACAATACACATTTTAGCTAGATATGATATACATAAGTATAGGTAAATTGGTATTTTATTGTCTTCAGAGTAAGTAAATGTGTATATAAAGCACCTAGAGAATAGTAGATGCTCAGTAAGTTTTAGTGCTTACACTAGGGTAGCCTGTATATGATGTGGTGTGCCTGTGTATTGATTCCAATAGAAGAAATTTTTTTCAGTTGAATGCTTGTGTCTTTCACAATGCCAGAATTTATTGAAAAACAACAAACCAGCAAGCCATGTCCATTGTGTTGGTATTAATTGGCCAAGTACTACTGAGATCACTTGATAACCTAGGCCATGCGTAACAAATTCTTTTTTTTCCCTAATCTTAATTACTAAATACTAATCCTCAGATCGTCCCAAACACAAAAACATACAGGTTTCAGTTCACTAGGGAAAAGTAAAAGTAGCAACAAATTCAGAGGTCTTGCCTAGAGCAACAGCAGGAGAGCATATAGCCAATCCCAGGAAGTCACTGCAAATGGTCAGGTAAGATACTAACCCAGTCACACTGCAGTTGAAGGGCAGAGCTAATTTAAGACTTTTTTTTTTTTCTTTTTATGCCTGTACTTATGGTTTGAACTATTGGCTTGGCTTTTTTGCTTGAAGCTAGCATTCTTCAACTTAGGCCACAGCTCTACTTCTGGCTTTTTGCTGATTAATTGTGTCAGATTATTTGGACTTGGACAGAAAACCACACAGACATCCAGGTACAGAGAACAAAGGCAGGTTTATTGCCAGAAAGGGGGCCAGCAAGACCCCTTCTCACAAGGGAGAAGTGAGAAGAAACCCCGGCTATTGTCTGAGGTGACCTATATAACCTAGGAGTTCCTAGAAGGAGCTAGGAGGCAGAGACCCTGGTGTGGACATGTGGGCCAAGGGCTTCATTATGACAGACTAGGATTGATGGCTGCTGGCCAAATAATAGATAAGGGGTCCTGCAGCTGCCCAGACCTGAAGGTCACTCTAAGGGGCTCTTGTTGCCTTATATGGTGGTGGCTGCCCGCAGAGAAGTGCCATCCCAAGGTAAAGTAGGTAGGAGGCTGATTATTTACTGCCTTTACTACATGGGCCTAGTGTTGCCTAGGAAGGGAGCATGCTAAGCTGTGGAGAGGGGGAGGCACGTGTTAAGCTATGGGAAGGGAGCTCATTGAGATAACAAATTGGAAATCAATTTTACAGACTTTCCTACCCCAGGCTGGCTTCAAATCCTGAGGGCTCAGATCTGAGCCTGCTGAGCAGCTAGGATTACAATAGCTGTTGGGATTACAGGCCTGAGCCACTGGCCGCATTGGCCCACTTACTTTTAACTTTAGTGTTTGACCTAGCATTGTCCTGTTAGGTAAACTTCTCTGAATCTGTTGTTAAATTTAGCAGACCACTAGCTTCCACGCTCAAAAGCTCTCAGCTGACATCTGAAACCTGTAGGAAAGATTTCCCCTTTTTTACCCAGCTTGCTTCCCACCAATGTACTTGCTGAATGCATTGATTTATGACTTCCTTTGTTCTTTGGCTATAAAAGTCCGTGTAGCCTCTTTCGCTTTGGAGCATGTCATTCAGGGTAACTTGAAGCACTGTTCCCAGGTCACAGTTACTTGTCATTGCTCAGAATAAACTTCCTATTTCCTTCAAGCAGAATTCTTGAACAGAAGCGAACAGTTTATTTATATGTGTGTATAGATGTTTATATTAACATATGTATATACACACAGAATATTTTTTGTTTGGAGTTTAGTTGGGGGGGGTTGTGGGCTTATTGTTGTTTTGGTTTGGGGTTTTGCTCTTTATATGATTCTGTTTGTTACCAATTGGGATATGAGAAACTCTTTGAAGAACACGCTGATGGATCTATAAAGGAGGAAGAATGAGAACCAGAGGTTGGCCCAGTGGCTCAGAGGCCAAATCTTCTTCTTTTTGTATTTAACTCTTAGACATGTGGAACATGTCCCTAAAATTGCTATTAGGATCTGCATCCCTTGTTTAGATCCTTGCTGTTTACTCTGCGAATGTGGTTTGGCATGTAGAAAGCACTAGAACTGAAATTACCCTTTGGCCACTGAATTCTCACATTATAAATCAAGGGTCCCATCATTTTCAAACAGCATTTTTGCCGTTGTTTGCTTAAGTTTTTTTTTTCTTCTAGGTTGAGGATGATGCAAACCACTGAAATTCTCTGGCAGATGAAAGCAGTACCTTTATAAGAGCCCCAGGTTTATTATGAGTCCTAGGCTCAACATGTTGCTTGAGTAAATGTGAGTTTGCATTGAAAAGGAACCCATACAATCAAATCCCCTGTAGTCAATTGTTTATTTCCCTCACCTGTCCAACTTGAAGTATGGTTTTTAATTTAGTGAAAAGATATACAGGTAGAGCCTTGGAAATGCTATGGGAGCAAGCAGGGCTGACTTCATGAGTATGTACCTCAGCAGTCACATAGAGCTCTAAAAACATGAAGAGCCCCATGCTTGATTTAATATTCTGGCTGTTACCTTACAATTCTTAGTAATATTTAAACAAGAAAGTTCACATTTTCATTCTGCAATGAACCATACAGTTTTTTTTATGTATGTGTATCAGTAACAGGAACACAGATGAGTTGCTGCGAAGAAAATGGCTCTTATAAAACACCTATTTGTTGGGCACAGAGCTAAAGACCTGAAATGGAACATTACATTCTGTGCACTAGCTCAAGAAAGACAGGCATTATCATTCTCATTTTACCAAAGATGAAACAGCTTAGAAAAAAAGCTAAGTGCTCTGCTTATTTTCAGAGTTTTCTACAGGGAAGAATTCATTAATAATGTTACTGGATAGAAGAAAATCAACTCCCTCTGGCCATTTTCCTTGATGCTTCAATCATCCAAGGACTTGCAGTAGGGAAAGTAAGCACCCTTAATTAGATTAGTAGTCATCAAAGTAAATGTTATATAGTTGTCATGTATTGGTCTGCTGTGGAGTATTTTAGAGAAAGTTATTTTCTGTTCTTTTTTTTCCTACAAGTCCTTCCCCCTGCCCCGGTTTTAATTAATAAATTCTAATCTAGGATAATTGCAGGGAATAAATATCTTGAGCTTGGATCATAATTGTATATCTAAGTGCCAAATGCAAAAAACAATTGCAAGACTGGGTAAATATGACTAATTAAGTAAAATTATGATTGAAACAATAGTTACTGGGGCAAGGAGTTGCAAAGCAGGGCTACTAGAAAAAGAAGATGGGCTATACCGATGTAGTGGCACAGACCTATTGTCAGCTACATGGTTTCAAGCCCAGGAATATGAGGCAGGCATGGAAAGCATAACAAGATCATGTCTCTTTAAAAGAGAAAAAAAAGCTGAGGACATTTCAGAGCAATAGAAGTTATGACACCATGAACTTATGGACATGGAAAATAATTAACATGAGCCTTCATTTCCGTGAGGTGTGGACATAAGGTGTTAGTGACTACTTTCTCCTCCTACCCAAATTAGCCACATATGGTTGTGAGGAACAACCAACCCTAGACAGTATTCAAAGGCTTTGACATAAACAATGTGAGGGCATTTGTGAGTGTCGGTAGTTTATGTTGGTGGGTGGGTAAGTAGGTAGAGACTGAATATAGATTCAAACATAATTAAATTGAATTGACAAAGGCACAAAGGGATTGGTTGTATGAGGCCTTTAGCCTAATGCAGTAATTCTCACCCAAGGAGGACTGTCCCTGGGAAGTGGGGGTGGGGAGGTGTCTGAGCATGTCTAGAGATGGTTTGGATGCTCACATCTGCATGCATCAGCTCAGTGCTGTAAATATTTAGTGATGTTGCTGAACATTGTACTGCACACAGCAGAGCCCACAAAGAATGTGTGTGTGTGTGTGTGTGTGTGTGTGTGTGTGTGTGTACGCGTGCATGTGCACGCGCGCCCATACTGGGGCTTCAGTACAAAACCTCATGCTCTCACTCTGCTTTTTCACTCAAGACTGGTACTCTACAACTTGAGCCACACCTCCACTTCTAGCTTTTTACTGGTTAATTGGTGATAAGAGCCATTCAGATTTGTCTGCCTAGATTGACTTCCAACTGGGATGCTCAGACCTCAGCCTCCTGACTAGCTAGGATTACAGGTGTGTGCCACCCACTGTATGAGCAAAAAATTATTCAGCCCAGTGCCAGTTGGATCACAGTTGGTACCTTGCAGTTCTATACGATCTTGCTCTTTGCTACCCTCTGCAGATTAAGCTCTCCAGAGATAATTAAGAAGTAGCCTTCAGTTATGTACTTTTAATTATGAACTGGACATTTT